TTTTATGACCATGCTGCCCATTGCTCACACAGGGTCCGAATGCCTGCACTCGGTTATGTGCACTGCTCTCCAGCCCCGCCCCCCCCCCCCCCTGTTTCGGGGGCTCTGCCCAACCAGGCACTAGTTTTCCGTCTGTTGCTTGTGCTTTCTTGTCTTACTGCCGAGGCAGTGATCCAGGACAGGGAGGACATGAGGGTCAGTTTTGATGACCAGCATGTCCCCTGCACTGTGCTTCCAGAACCCTCGCCCCACTCCCCAAGTGCGCCCTCCCACCCTGGGTCTCGCACAGACAAGGGAAGCCCCACTGGTCACAGTGTCCACTCTCCTCCTGTGGCTTTTGGGAATGTGGCAGTAGCCTCAGAGACACCCCCCCCACACACACACTCTGGACGTCTGAGTTGGCCCTCCAGGAAGAAGCCCGAGGGTGTGAGACTAACTGCACTGACAGCTGGGAAGGCTCCTGAAAGTACACCCCTTCCTCTGGAGACCGCTTTGAATCTCAAGCATCAAAAAAACAAACACACAAAGAAGCCTAGAAAGATAACAGCTGAGAGAACGTCACCTCTCTGACAGGACAGAGAAAGTCATCACAGGCCACCAGATTTGACCTCCAACACCTGCGCTTTGAAACAGAAGACACAGCTGGTAAACTGGAGGTTGGACATGTTTCCTCAGGAGGCTGAGCTGAAGGTGGCTGCAGCGGTGGTGAGGGTGGGCACCACAAGCCCTGTGCAGTCTCCCGCTCGGCAGGTGACACACGTCCCACCACCAAGAGCAGAGGCTGGGCATGAAGCTTTGAGTCACCTGCCTAGGATGGCGCAGTGTAGAGTGTGCATACACCCGAGGAGACTGAGCGTGAGACCAGGATCTTCTGTCAGGAACTTGAGGTCAGGGGCGCGAGCGCACAACAGGCTGAGGCCGAGCTCTGCGCTGCCTCGTGCATCTGACCCATTCTACCTCCCAGGTGTCTATCCCTCACTCCTGGGAAGTAGGTGAGGGCCCGGCAGAATGAATGACACTTGAGGGACTAGATTCTGACACTGCTGATCTCCTAGGGAGAAAGAGGGCGTCAGGTCCGCTCATGGCAGAGGAGCGGAGAGTCCCCAGAAGGTGCCCAGACTTGCCCCACAGAGCTGTGAGAATTAGTGTGATTGGGGCTTCATGCTTTCCTCTCTGAGCGCAGGCTCCAGGCGAGCTCACCCCTGGCCATGTGTCCGTATCTCTGGGAGATCTTCTCTCAGCCATGTTCAGGTCACCCTGGCCTCCCCTCCCCAGCCATCCTCCATCCTCACCACATGTTCCCAGTGAATCAGTGGGAATTTCACACCCACAAGTTACCTTGTGATTTAGAGGAAGTTGTTCCTCAATTCCCCGTGTTCATTATCCTCAGGCAGAAGTAAGATCAATACCCATTTCATAAGAGGTATTTCTTTAGGAAGGACCTTTTGTCAATTTGAACAAGCTCATACTGTTTACCTTAAAAAACCCCTTTCACCTCCCAGGAGGGGGGATGCATGTTGAAAGCAGACTATGGACTGAACATGTTTGCCACTCACTGCCTCTTTTGCAGACCACAACACCCAAAAGGAGAGAGAGAACAAAAGGAATGCCCTGCCACAGAGGCAGGGTGGGATGGGGGGATGGGGTGATGGGGGTGGGAGGGATATTATCCATGGTGGTGGAAAATGGGCACTGGTGAGGGATGGGTATTTGATCATTGTATAACTGAAACCCAAGCACAAAAAATTGTAAATCTACAACTGTACCTCATGGTGTTTCACTAATAAAAATTTAAAAAAAGGCAACCCTTTTTGGGCTGGAGAGATACCAGAGGGAGATGGGGCGCAGGAGTCATGCTTTGCATGAACAGGAGGTCTGAACATCACTAGAAGCAAGCCTGGAGCATCACCAGGTGGGGCTAATACACCCACAGGGCTAAGCCCAGAATGTCCTCACATTCCGCAGGTGGGTAACATTCATGACTCAACCCTTTGTCTGGCCAGCAAGCAGCACTGGAGCGCGGAGATGAGGGCAGCAGCAGCTCTCTGAAACCACAGGGCTGGGGACTACCACACCCCACCCACTTCCCCTCCACCCGTTAGGAAAATCCGGTTGACTTGTGTAACTAGTGAACGTTCTTTTCTGAACTTCATTCTGGCCTGTTTCTCTTGAGGGAATGCGTGGGTCGCAAACCGAGTTATTTTTGTCAAACAAAGCTTCAGAAAACCTGGCGGCAGAGGCAGCAGACGCCACTGTCCCAGGGCAGAAGGGTGGGTGGCATGTGCCCATGTGTGGACAGCTGCTAAGTCATGCCCTGCAGGCAGGATGGGGGCCTGGGGGCCTGAGTGAGACCAGGCCTCCTTCCTTTAGCCAGGAGACACTGCAGGAGACATGGTCTCATGGGCGTTGTTGGCACACTTTGTTTGTCAGTGTTTCCTGAGCACCTGGTTGCCAGGAGCTAGTCTAGTGTCCATCAGCCGTCAGTATGGACAGGCAGGCCCCTGCCCTGTGGAGTTGGCCCCCCCTCACCTCCTGTCTAGCCAGGTATGGCTGGTGACATCATCTGGGGCAGGGAGGGGTGAGAGGAGCAGAGGGGAGTTCAGAGGCCGGTGAGGGGTCAGCAGGGGCCCACCCAGGGTGCAGCACAGTGAGCTCATGGCTCTGCTGGGGCGTGTCTTGGGTTCTTTTACATTTCTGAGTAGTATTTAACCTGCAGCTGCTTTCTGAATGGGGAGAGAGCTACTGAACCTTCCTTGGAGAAGGGTAGCAGCAAATAGAGTTGTTGGCCTGCAGCCATGGGGTGAGGAATTGTGTCTATGGGAGGTGGCTCTGGCGGTCATCCCAGACCCTCCGGCAGGCGAAAGGCAGCCTCCCCCAGGCCTCTCTTCTGAGCCAGCTCACCTGGGTTCTCCTGGCTCACACGCACTCACTAGGTCATATTCATGCTTGCTTCGTCCACATTCACTAGATCACAGAGTAGATCACATACTCACCGATCACAGTCGCTCACACCAAGATAACAACTGCTGATGCGTGCTGACTCACTGGCTCACACTCACTGGTGCTGAGATAGGGGCACCCACGCACCCGAACCCTCACTGCCGTGGCCTGTAGGGAGAAGGCCAGGGGACTTTCCTGCTCGGCGAGACAGGCGGCCATCGCTGGTAGCAATAGATAAGATGCTTTCTTTCCTTCAGCTCCTCCACTTTCCTGCCACCCCCGCTCCCCTGACAAAGGGAGAGAAAATATAACTTAGAGCTTCCTCCTAGGACAGGGTGAGTCTTGCTCAGACTGCAAGGCTGGATGGGGAAGTGCCAGCGTCCCTAGGAGCTGGCTGCAAATGTTTTTCCTCATCTCACCGTGCAGAGAAGGTAAAGTGGTGGCTGAGCAGGAGATCTCTCGCCAACCCCCAAGTCCGGCGTCAGACTGGGTGGTCCTAAGGTAACGTCCTCCCCTTGGGTGCTACTTACAGCAAGGTGGGATTCGGGGAGGCTTTCCTAGAAGACCCCCAAATGACTCGACATACTGCTAGTCCTCAGTTTTCTGATTCCACATCAAGGAGCAGCTCACATTGTGCACATATATGTAACCACACCTTAGCAACGGGCAGGACGCCCGGACCGAATGGTGCCACAAGTTTCCCTGTTGGGGAGGGTTGGTGACAGCAGAATCTCCCAGAGCAGCCATTCTCGGCGACAGTAATGGTGAGGCCCGTCCCCCAAAGGCCTCTGCGTCGGGCGGGGTGCCAGAGGGGGAGTGCAGCAAAGAGCAGATCCGTGACATGGGCGGGTGGGGCCCGGGGGAGGACAATGGGGAGAGAAGGGTGGAGGTGGGCGTGGGGAGCTGCTGGCCCCACTGGGGTCTGTCTGGTGGGAGGGGAGGACTCCTGAGGAAGGGGAGGCTTCACCTGGATTGCTTGGGCGCTCGAGTTTGTTCCTTGACTCTCTGGGGAGCAAGGTGCGTGTTGACTTTCTTCTCCCTCTAGTGTTCTGCGGAGAGGGTGGGTATTCCCGGAGGGTGCTCAGGCAGTCTCGGGGGCCCTTCCAAGCCACGCACCGTCCAATGCCGGGGGTGGCACTGCTCAGGCACTTCAGGACCCAAAGGTCCCCAGGGTCTCTACCTACCGGGGATGCTCAGTCTGGCGGTGCCAGGGGGAGCCCAGCGAGTGGGGCACAGGTGACTCTCGTACCCTAACCCTGCGGCCCCTGCCTTGCTGCTTGCCGAAGGTGCGAGAAACTCCTGGTGGGGGCCAGGGAAAAGGCTTTAAAACCAAGGCAAGCTCATCGGAAGCCGCTCATTCCAAACGCCTGGGCCTCGCAGCCTTTCTGAGAACAGAGGGGCGGCCGCGAAAAGGCTGCAGACGCGGGCAGCAGGCCTGTGGGCGGTCCCGCAGCGCCTGGACCTGGGCCCGGGGCGCGTTCAAGGAAACGACCTCGTCCCAGGGCCGCGCGGGGCTTCCTGGAAGCGTTCGCAGCCGCTGACGTCACCGGCCCGCAACACCGGCCCCGGCCAGGGAAGCGCGCGGAGGGACCCGACGCTCTGCCCGGAGGCGGCCCCGGTGCTGCCGGGCTGGCCCCGGGGGCTCGGGCCCGAGGGGCGCCCTGGCCTGGGTGGGCACTCCCGGACGGCAGCGAGGGGGGCGCGGCGCCCGGCTCGAGCGGGGCCGGGTCGGCGGGGGACGCGGGCGGAGCCGCCTTCCGCCCCGCCTCGCCCTTCCCCTCCCGGCCGCGCCCGGCGCCGCGGACTTCCGGGCGCGGGCGCGCGCGAGCCATTGGGCGCACAGAGACAGGCCCCGCCCCGCGCGCCAATGGGCGGACAGAGACCAGCCCCGCCCGCCCGCCAATGGGCGGACAGAGAGCAGCCGGGCCGCGCCGCCAGCCAATGGGCGGACAGAGTCCAGCCCCGCCCCGCCGGCCATTGGCCGGCAGGGAGAGACAGGCCCCGCCCCGTCACCGTGGCCCCGCCCCGCCGCGCCCCGCCCCGCCCGGGTCCACCCGGACCCGGCTCTGGGCTCCGGCCGCACCGGACTCTGCGGCGTTGCTGGTGGCCGCGCGGACGCGGCTCTGCGAACCCCGAATGCCGGCGCGTGCCCGGAGCCCCGCGTGGCGTCGGCCGTGGGTCGGGGCCTTGGAGATCGCCCTGGTCCTCGCGCTGCCAGGCCTGTGCGGTACGTGCCGAGGCCCTCGGGGTCGCGGCGTGGGGGGCGGGGCCCCTCGGGGTCGGGGCCGGGGCGTGGGGGCGCCGTGGGTCGCGTGGGGCGCGGGGCTTAGCTCTGGGCCGCCCGCCCCGCCACCTCCCGCTGCCCCCGGGTGGGCAGCTGAGGGTCCCGGGCCCCCCTCCCGACTCCCGAGCCCCGAGAGCAGCTGGTCCCTGCGAACGGGGCGGGGGGGGGGGGGCCTCTGGGGAGGCGGAGCCGGCGCCGCCCCCAGCCCGGGGAGCAAAGGATGTGCGCGGGGTCGGGGGGCGCCGGCAGCCCCGGGACCGCGAGGTGGGTGCACGGAGGCTCCAGGGGACCCGGTTTCCCGGCCCGCCCCGGCCCGGCCCTGTGGGGTCAGGGGGAGGATGCTGCGCGTTGCCAGGACAACCCCAGGATGCCCGGAGTCTGGGTCCCGCACAGCCCCCAGCCTCCCCCTGCATTCACGCTGGAAGGGAGAGCTCGGCGGGCTGCAGTCGTGACCCGTGACCCAGACAGGACAGGACAGTTCCCCGGGGGCAGAGGACGCACGGTCAGTTGACACTGCTGGCGGGCAGTGGACGCGGGGCCCAGTATCCCAGGACATTCTTTCACTAGCCCTTGAGGCTTCTTCAGGTTTGATGAGCTCCACCTCCCTCTGCCCTCCCTCTGGGCCCCTGCGGCCAGAGCGTGTGCTGTGGACAGTGGGTGGAGGAGAGGAGAGAGTCTGGTGTGAGATCTGAGTGCCGGGGACAGGAGGTGCTGGCACCCTGCGGTCAGGTTGCCCGCTGCATTCACCCAGCATCCTCCTGGGAGTGTCCTCTGGGCTGTGCACTGCACTCACCCGCCCCGGTTCGTTCAGAATCGCCTGCAAGACTCATTGCCAACCCTGAGGGATCCAGCAAGTCTGGGACAGGAGTGGAGTAGTTGGCATGGATGGCACTTGATGTCTGCAACCTGTGAAATCCTTAGTAGCATGACAGTTGTGGGAGGCCCTCCCCCTGCATGCTAAGTACCTGCTAGCCTAGGGTGTCCGTGCTGGTTCTCAGGTTCCCAGGGAATGAAACTGCGGCTTGTTCCCCAGAAACCAAGGCTGGCAAATAGGGTGTTATCTCCCTCTCCACAGCAGGGGTACATACATGGAGCATTCTGGAAGATCCCTCTGTGCCTTTTCATTGATTCTCGTTGGTCCCAGCTCCTGTGAGTGGTGCAAGAGAAACGTTTGGTATTCACTGGAATCACTCTCATCTCTAGGTGCCTGCGATGCACCACCAAGATACCAGTCTATGAAGATCAAGGGGGACAGTAAATCTTCGTACAGTCCTGGGGAGAGAGTAGATTATGAGTGCCGCCCAGGGTACAAGCGCGACTTTACGCTTCCTGCCCATACTGTTTGTAATGACGATGGCACATGGGCAGCCCTCCAGGAGGCTTGTACCAGTAAGTAAACCAGGCTGCCTTTTTCTTTTCCTTTTCTTTTTTTTCCCCTTTTGGTTTGAATTTGATTTGATATTTTATTGAATCACCATGTGGTACACAATTACAAGGTTGTTATGACTTAGTTTCAATCATACAATGTTCCTGTCTCTTCACCAGTGTACATTTCCCAATTTTCTTCCTGTTACCCTCCCCATGAGTCCTCTAGTTTCTCACAACCTCATCCTGCCCCTATGCCAGGCACTTTTCTTCTCTCTCTCTCTCTCTCTCTCTCTCTCTCTCTCTCTCTTCCCCCCACCTTCTGTCTTTCTCTCTGTCACTATTTCCTTCATTCTTGCATCATTATAACTTGCAGTGTAAGTACTGAGAAGTTGTCACAAGTGGAAGGTTGGGAGGAGGGCAGTTAGAATCGAGAAGATTATGACATGATGTTAGAAAGAATCACTCTGGAAAAGAACTGAGTTCTGAGAGGAGGTAGACGGATACTCAGGTTTCGTTTTCAGTCCGTGACCTATGACTCTCTCACATGGTGCTGGTGCTTGTCTACTACTGTTTTTATCGTGAGAGTATAGGTTTTATGTAGTGTATTAGTTCAGGTTTTGAAAAAATCTCTGTGGAGTCTTTCTTGGCATGTAGATGCCTGGGTAAACGTGAACCTCACTTTTGCCCTTACAGTAATTAAGGAAAGTAATAATCCCTTAAGTATAAAGGCACAATGTGAGCTTTTGTTTTAAATTTAGATCTACTTGGAAATTTATAAAATGGTGAACTTGATATTTTCCCTTAGAAAAGGCATGTCCACATCCACCAGTGCCCAGTAATGGGGAAATATCCAGCCCACAAGGGGATCTGCTGTTTGGCTCAGAGGTTCACTATACATGCTTTGTCGGGTAAGTCACTCCATCAAAGTGGATAAGGTAATATTACAAACTCCATTTTTGGGTTTTTTTTCTTCTAACACACCCTTGAAGTTGGTTTCTTTTCTTTCTGTGTGGCAGGTTGTACTTGTAGCCAAACAACATTGGGGATGTTAGGGGGACTGAAAAGATGAGGAATGAATACAAGTCAGTCTACATGGAAAGAAAGCAAAGTGGTGTGCTGCTACATATAGCAGTAAACTTACTACAAACATTCAAATCATAGTGGTCATGGTAACTTACCCTTGACCACCAACGCTCTCATTCCATATTGGTCAGCTATCAGCTAACATTTACATTTCTCTGTTGTGATAGCAGAAAATAGAATTACCTACCAAAGTTATTTAATTGAAGGGTGGTGTTATCAGACCAGCCTTGACCCGATTTTCCTGGCCCTTGTGTTGAATGATCTCTGACTTGCAAAATATTACTGAGTCAGCTATGAGAGTAAAGCTTCTCAAAGCACAAAAAAAGATGTAAGAGTATTTAATCGTTTGTTTTCAGTCCAGCTTGCATATCTTGGCTATACTGGCTACTTGTAAAAATTGGGCTTTTTGGAGGGGAAATATAAAAACACTCCAGAAATGGCACCCTTTTTAAAAATACTGACTCTGTAGCCTGCCGCTTGCTGAGTTCAGTCTAAGAGGTGTGTATGAGATATGTGAGATCATCCTGGTTTTCTACTTAAAAAATCATTTTGCCTAGTGATAGTTTCACTTCTTGCTTTTCAATTTGGATATCTTTCGTTTCTTTACTGTCTCTCCTGTCTCCTTAATTTCTCAATTACTTCCAACGTGAAGTTGAATAGAAGTGGTAAGAGTGGGAGCTCTTGGGACTGGAGAGACAATGCAGGTAGGAAGGCCACTTGCCTTGCATGTTGTATGCTTGATTGGTTGGTTTGTGAGCGAGCCCATCCACCAGTGCTCAGGGTTACTCCCTGCTCTCTGCTTGGGGGTAAACTCTGGCTTGGTCAGGAGTCCATGCAGTAGTGTACTCGCTGTTGGATAGCTCTAGATCCTCACCTTCCAACTTCTTTAATTCTCTCATCTCTTATTCAGTTTTTTGCCCTCTTTCTTGTGTTTTCTTGACTGTCTGTAGCACTGCTTCTTTGAGGTCAGTGAACATCCTCACGACTAAGGCCTTTCAAAATGCCTTATCAGAGAGGCTAGTTAGGCTCTTAGTGCTGGTTGAGTATCAGGGCTATTATTTGTTCACTAAATGTCATGGGGTTTGCACTGTTTCCCTGTTGTCCCGTCGCAGTCTGCGGTGGAGTCTTTCTGCTTCTCTGTTCATGCCCTGCCATCTCAGCGAAGCTCTCTGGAGGGCAGGTTGGTTGGTGCCCTCTTTATTCTCGGACAGTGGTCTCCAATCCAATTTGTTGTTGGTAATTTCCTTTACCTCTTATGGGAGGTGTTTAATGTCATTGACCCTTCACCTAGCCAGATTGTGCTTTAGATTATTATGATTCTTGCTGTCGTGCTGCTGTTGTCGGATTTTCTAGGAATGGTGCTTGGAGCTAGGGGTGACTATTAGCGTGGATGGAGGTAGCCAAACTATTTCTGCGTTAGTTCAGATGAGAGCCCAAGGTGTATTCCACGTGGGACTGCGAGAAAGATATTTTCAGTAAGAGTAGTAGCAGCAGTACTATCAAGAGTTCACCTTTTCAGAAACCTCTTAGGTGGAGTCAAGTGGCTCTATAGTGAGACAAAGTTAGATGCCCACTATTCCCAGCTGGGTGGCTCCAGGTGTAAGTTTCACGGATCTTTTAGTGTGGCCAAGTGGTTCTTGCTGAGTCCAAGGTGGGAAATTTTTTTTTTTAATTTTTTTTTTTTTTTTATTGAATCACTGTGGGAAAGGTTACAAAGCTTTCAGGTTTATGTCTCAGTCATGTAAATATCAAACACATTTCCCTTTACCAATACTTATTTTTTACCATGAAGAACCCCAATAAAACCCCACCCCCCACCCCTCCCCGTCCCTGTGAGGCAGATGAATTCTAGTTAACACTCTATCTGCTTTGATTAGATTCATTGTTTCAATAAAAGATTCACCACTATTATTTAGAGTTTACCCCCCCCCCAAATCAGACATGCTGAAAAAGCATTGTGAAGTGATTTGCTTTCTACGGCTGGGTTCAAGAATTAAATGTTGGTTTTGGATTTCTGCTCTTTTACCTATTGATCCTGGAAGTATTTCTACTGAAAGTCAGATAATTAAGAAATTGGTTTCTGTGTTCTGGAGTCCTGGCCGTGCTGGAGAGCCGCTCGCGGGGGGCAACCGGTGGCCTCGGTAGGGCGTGAAGGGCGGAGCGAAACGCCCCCCTTCCCATGAGGTTTTAGTCGCCCCCACACTCCCGGCTCATACCTGCTGTCCACAAGGCTCCCATGTGGCTGCCATCTTTCTTTCCAGAGAGGAGAGGGCGATTGGGGCAACACCCTTTCCCCTCCGGCAGACTTGATGGCCTGGATCAATGCATAGTCCTTTCACTTGTCTGCTCCAAGCTGCTGGGTTCTGCATTAAGTCCTTGTGCTTCTGGGGCCGTGGCCGTGCTGGAGAGCCGCTCGCGGGGGGCAACTGGTGACCTCGGTAGGGCGTGAAGGACGGACCAGAACGCCCCCCTTCCCATGAGGTTTTAGTCGCCCCCACACTCCCGGCTCATACCTGCTGTCCACAAGGCTCCCATGTGGCCGCCATCTTTCTTTCCAGAGGGAGGAGGGCGGAAGGGAGCAACACCCTTTCCCCTCTGGGCAGAAATGATTGCCTGGATTAAAGCATAGTCCTTTCACTTTTCTGCTCCAAGCTGCTGGGTTCTGCATTAGGTCATTGTGCTTCTGGGGCTGTGGCCGTGCTGGAGAGCCGCTCGTGGGGGCAACTGGTGGCCTCGGTAGGGCATGAAGGGCGGACCGAAACGCCCCCCTTCCCATGAGGTTTTAGTCGCCCCCACACTCCCGGCTCATACCTGCTGTCCACAAGGCTCCCATGTGGCCGCCATCTTTCTTTCCAGAGAGGAGAGGGTGAATGGGGCAACACCCTTTCCCCTCCGGCAGACTTGATGGCCTGGATCAATGCATAGTCCGTTCACTTTTCTGCTCCAAGCTTCTGGGTTCTGCATTAAGCCCTTGTGCTTCTGGGGCTGTGGCCGTGCTGGAGAGCCGCTCGTGGGGGGCAACTGGTGCAAGGTGGGAAATTTTGACGTTTGTGGGAATTTTTTTTTCAGTGTTACAGGCATTATCCTGGTTTATCTTAATCATTATTTTAGTCTGCTCTGATCGGGTTTCAGCTTTGTGCTGGGCCATGTGTCATTGCTATCATTTTTTTCTTCGTGCAATTGATCTTAGAAATCATAATTTTACTTTCTTCTTTTTTTCCTAAATATTGGTGGACTCCCATTGCTCAGAGGGCACAGCAGCACTCCCTGAAATAGTTCACTGGTCCAGATGGCTCAGTGCTACAGACCAGTTTTGCTCTGGGACCTCCAGAACTACACCTAGAGGTGCTTGGGAACTTGTGGTGGTGGGGATCCAATTTGAGTTCTTGTTCATGCCAGGTAAGTATCTCTGAGCCTTGAGGTATGTCCCTGGCCCCCTGCCACTGTATGGAGGTGGTAGCAGGTTCCTGGTTGGCTCCAGAATCACTCCTCACCTGGAACTTAAGAAGATGTGTGAGCCTCAGGAGACCTCAACTAAAAGAAGGTGCTGGCAGTTGCTGGTATTTTTTAGATATCCAAGTGTGCAGGCTGGCACATCCTTCCTACATGCCTGAGGGAGCCTACGTGTAGGCTTTTTGAGGGTTTCTGGAAGTCTACCAAGTAAACTTGTTGAAGACGTGGTACCCTTTTGATAAATACATCATATATGAACAGTTGTCAGAGCAACTGTGGACCAGAAAATATTTCTGACTGTGACAGTGGGGTCTGTCCAGCAGGAGCAGGGGACTCTGACTAAACCATCAGAGAAGGTTCCAGAGCAGTATCCTGGGAGATTCCTAGAAAGATGTTCCAACCTAAAGGACTGCCAAGAGCTAGAGCTTCCCCATCCCGGCCTGGCACTTGGTCCTCTCACTGTCTGGTGCAGGAATCTGAGCCCTAGAGTGTCAGGGGACTTGCGCAGGTGCATCAGGTACAGACAGCCCGTCCCTGGGCCTGTCTCTCCAGAGCCGCAGTCTTGCTGAGAGGAGGGTGTGAGGGAAGGGGTCTCCCATTGAGTGTGATGTGACTGCGGAGGCAGCTGTGGCCATGTGCACTGATGTTATAGCCCCTGCTACAGGACCATGAGTTCTCACTTACACCAGCTCCTTACTGTGTACTTCCCTTATCTCTGTTCTCATGTATCTAGGACTATTCTTCAAACTACTGTTGAAGGAAAACATAATATGTTACTTCTCAGTTTTCTATATAGAAATAATAGTAATTTTTTCTTTCCTTACTTAGTTTCCGCTTAATTGGGTCAAAAGTTATTTACTGTGAAGTATTTGACAACACTATGAAATGGAGTGATCAGCCTCCACTATGTGAAAGTAAGTTTGGTCTCTGTTTAGATATTAGAGCAATAATCAGTACATTGTTTTTTCAGTACCCCTTTAGACTTAGGAATGTTATACCGTAGACCATGACCTTTTCTTTAGTTGGTTACTTGATGTATTCTGAGCCAATGTCTTTCTTTTTTCTTTCTGGGTCACACTTAGCGATGCAAAGGGGTTACTCCTGGTTTGTGCACTCAGGAATTACTCCTGGCTATGCTCAGGGGACCATATGGGATGCTGGAAATCGAACCCGACTCAGGCCACGAGCAAGGCAAACGCCCTACCTGCTGTGCTGTCACTCTAGCCCTATCTGAGCCAATGTCTTGTGTGTCAGAAAGGAAAGTGTGATTTAGAAATCACCATTTTGGCCCCAGTTCAGAATTTCCCCACCTGAGTACTGGGTAAGGAGGGGAAGGGCTGCTAGCCATCTGAACTTAGCTCCGCCCATCCCTGGTCCCAGGAAACTGAGGAATCACAGCAACACCAAGGTCCCTGTTTTTCACTGAGTATCGCTATTTTGCCCCCAGATCAGGATACCCCCCTGCCCATGAAGCCTGCAGCCATATAGTGGCTGCACATTCCTTCTCCTTTCCAAAAATCACCGTGAACAAACAAAAACAACCTTACTCAAGCTGCATAACCACACACAAACATGCAAGAAACAACTCTGGACTGCAAAAGTCACAATGTGAGTGCAACACAGCACACCAATGCTTTAGGGAGTGAAGGTGGTAACCCAGTGGACTCAACCAGTAAAAATGAGCTACATAACCTGATGAGGAATTTAGAGAAGAAATATTGAGATTGCTTTTGAAGACCAAAGAAATTGGCATGAACTAACAAACACAAGAGGATATGAAAGCAGAAATAAGGAAAAAAATGAATGATTCTGAGAACGGAATCAGTGAGCTCAAAGTGAAGTGCAGAAAACCTCCAGACAAAAACAGAAGATGGGGAAAAGCCTCCAAATAATTGAACAAGTGACAAGAGAACTTTGGGATCAATTCAAGAGAAACAACATAAGAATCACTGGGTCCCCAGAGGACCGGGAAGGCAACCCTGGTGATGAATCAACAGTCAAAGACATCATTACTGAGAAATTCCAAGCGGAAGAGTGCATGCACCCAGATCCAGGTGACCTGAAAAGGACCATCTTAAAGAAATGCAAGGAAAAGTACACTAAGACACACTCTAACCGTAATGATAAAACCCACAGATAGAATACCAAAAGCAGTAATATTATGGAAATGATGTACAAAGGAGCAGCTTCAAGATTTATAGCAGATTTATCAAATAAAACCCTCCAAGCCCAAAGACAGAGGTGGGATAGAGTGAAAAAAATTAAATAATGCCTCATCAAGAATACTTTACCCAGCCAGACTGTTATTCAGATTTTAAGGAACAATACACAACTTTACAGATGAACCACTCAGGAACTTCATAGTCTCAAAACATCTTTATAAGAAGATCTAAAGGGCTGCTTTAAGACAAGTCCAAGAAACACACCAAACTCCTGAGGAAAGATGGGACAGAACCCCATGACAAGTATCTCTCTCAATGTCAAAGTTTTAAGTGCACCAAATAATAGACACAGAGTGGCAGGATAGATTAGAAGATTAAAGCCAGCATTCTGCAGCCTGCAAGAAACACATTTGAATAGTCAGAGCAGACACACACTCATAGTCAAAGGTTGGAAAACAAACAACAGACCCCTCAAAAAGCCCAGTGTGACATACAAGTATCAAATGGCATAGACTTCAGGCTGAAAAAGATTCTAAGAGACAGCAAAGGTCATTTCTTAATGATTATGGGATCTGTAAATCAGGAAGAACTCATACTCCTAAACATGTGTGTACCTGAGGGACCCGCAAAATACTTAAAACAACTACTGGCAGACTTGAAGAAAGACATCAATAGCAGCACAATAGTAGTTGGAAATTTCAGCATTACTCTGTCACCTCTTGATAGATTAATTTGACTGAAGCCCAATAAGTAATACTTTCTTTGAAGAAAAACAGGAGGGAGATAAAGAAGAAAGGTGTCTGCCAAAGAGCCAGGCAGTGGGGGTAAAGATGTGTGTGTGTGTAGGGGGAGTGGAAATAAAAGCTGGGGGATATTGGTGGTAGGAAATGTGCACTGGTGGGGGTATGGGTGTTGGAACATTGTATGATTGAAACGCAACCATGAATAACTTTGTAATGGTCTATCTCACGGTGATTCAATTTAAAAAAAAATCCAAAAGATCAATGAATGCAAAAACTAGTCCTTTGAAAAAATATCACTGTATCACTGTCCTCCCATTATTCATCAATTTGCTCGAGCGGGCCCAGTAACGTCTCCATTGGAGACTTTTGTTGTTACTGTGTTTGGCATATCGAACACGTCACAGGTCACTTGCCACGCTGGCGAGATACTCTCGGTAGCTTGTTGGGCTCTCCGAGAGGGGCAGAGGAATCGAACTCGGGTCGGCCATGTTGGTTGTGTGCAAGGCAAACACCCTACCACTGTTCAAAATACTACTAGCAAGACTCAAATAGGGAGAGAGAGAACCCTAATAAACCAAATCAGAAATGAAGGAAAGATAACACAACAGACACTACAGAAATTCATAGTATCTTCAGAATCTATTTTGAGAATCCTTATTCCACAAAATAAGAGAACCTAGAAGAAATTCTTAAATGCTTGGACTGCTATAAAGGCTAAACCAAGATTATCTAAACAGACCTATTGAAAAAAGAAGAAATGAGAATGGTAATCAAAATTCTTCCCCAAGACAAAAGTCCAGGCCCCGTTGGATTCACTAGTGAATTCTTACAAATCTTTAAAGAAGACCTAGTGCCAATACTTTTCTGGCTCTTCCAGGAAACTGAAGAAAGAGAAAAACTCCCAAAAAGTTTCTATGAAGCCAGCAGCATCCTAATACCAAAATCAGAGAGGGAATTACAGGTAGATTCTTGATAAACACAGATGCAAAGATCATCAATAAAATATTAGCAAACAGGATCCAACAATTTATCAAAAATATTATATACCATGACCAAGTAGGAGTCATCTCAAGCATGCAAGGGTGGTTTAATATATGCAAGTCAATCAACATAATACACAATACCAGTGAAAGAAAAAAAATCACATTAATCTGTAAATAAAAACAGAGATAGCATTTGACAAGATTCAGCACTCATTCATTCATGATTTTAAAAAAATCAATAAAATGGCCATTGAACTAAAAGACTTCCCCAAAGATCCGGCACAAGACACGGTTGCCCATTCTTGTCACTTCTATTCAATATAGTACTGGAAGTACTTGCCATAGCAGTTAGGCGAGAAAATGATACCAGATGCATCCCGATAGGAAAGCAAGAAGTCAAGCTCTCACTATTTGCAGATTATATGATACTATATTTAGAAATTCCTAAAGACTACTAAAAAGCGTCAAGAAACAACAATAGGTTTATATAGTAAAGTGGCTGTCTGCAAAATTAATGTGTAAAATTCCAAACCTGTCCTATACACAAATAATGAGGGTAAAAAGATCTGTTCTTAAAGTCCTACTTACAACTGTGTCCCAGAAAAATCAAGTACCTTGGGTTCTGCTTAACTAAAGAGGTAAAAGACCTATACAAAAATTAAAAAAAAAAAGCTATGAATTGCTTCTTCAAGAATAAAAGAGGACATGAGAAAATGTCATGCTCATAGATTGGGAGGATTAGTATCATCAGAATGGCAACACTTCCCCAAATCATTGTACTGATTCAATGCAATCACTATAAGCATACAACCCCATGTTATTTTTCAAAGAAATTTTTCAAACATGTGGAAATTCATGTGGAAAAATGAACCACCCAGAATAGCTAAAGCAATCCTTGGGGAAAAGAAGACAGGAGACTTCACTTTCCCCATATTAAAACTGTGCTCTGAAGCAGTAATTCAAACAACATTGTGTTAGAATAAAGACAGACTGTCAGATCAAAGGAATAGACTTGAATATCCTGAGACATGCCCTCGGGTATACGATCAGTTTATCTTCAATAAAGAAACAAAAAATACTAAGTAGTGCAAGGAAACCTCGTAAACTGATGGTGTTGTGGAAACAGGCCATGACATGAGAAAAAAAGAACTTAGACGGCTTTCCATTGCCATAGACAAAATGAAATCAAAATGGATTAAAGATAAGACCTGAATCCATAAAGTACATAGAGGAAAAATGTAGGCAGAATTCTCCATGACATTGAAGCTAAAAGCATCTTCAAGGATGAAGCACCACTGACCAAGCAAGTGGAAGCAAAGATAAACAAAATTGGCCACATTAACTAAGAACCTTCTACTCCTGAAAGGAAATGATGACCAGGATTCAAAGATGACCCAGAGAATGGGAAAAATTATTTAACCAACACTCAACTGATCAGGGGTTAATATCCAGAATATATAAGGCACTTGTAGAACTTTACAAGAAACTTCTTCAAGGAAGAACTGCAAATGACCAAAAGACATAAAAAAAAACCCTAATCATCAGGGAGATGCAAAAGAACATAACATATCACCAAACACCACAGAGACTGGCAAACATTCAAAAGAATAAGAACAACCTGTGCTGTCACAGATGTGGGGAGAAAGGGGCTCTCATTCATTGCTAGTTGGAATGCTCACTGCCCCAATCATTATTTTTTGGAAAACAATATGGACGATTGAATTTCCATATAACCCAGCAATAGCACTCCTGGGAATATACCCTAAGAGGTCCAAAAACAATGCAGAAAGCTTCCCTCTTCCCCTGTGTTAATTTCAACATTTCACAATGGCCAGAATTTGGGAAAAAACACAAGTGCCTGAGATCAGATGACAGGATAAAGAAACTATTATATATCTACACAGTGGAATATCATGCAGCCACTAAGAAAAAGGAAATCATGAAATTTGCTTCTACATAGAAGGACACGGAGAGTATTATGCTACATGAAATGAGTCAGAGGGATTGGGACAGATATAGAATGATTGTATTCACAGGATATTAAAACTGTATGGGTAGTATAAGAATAGTACCCAAAGACAGTAGGAATGAGAGCTAGGAGTACTGGCCCGTGGTAGGAAGCTTGCCAGAAAGGGTGGTGGCAGGGAGAGGAGAGGACCACTATGACAATGATAGTTGGAAATGATCACTCTGCACCAGAACTGAGTTCTTAAAGAAGGTAAAGTGATATCCATGATACCCTTTTAGTAACAGTGTTACAAACCACAGTGCCTAGAAAAGAAAAAGGGTAAAAGGAAGATAGAGAAGAAAAGAGGCAGAACTAGGAGGGGGGTCCAGAAAGGAGGGAAATTGGGGATATTGGTGGCAGGAAATCTACACTGATGAAGGGATGGGTGTTAGAACTTTGCGTGAGAGAAAACTCAATAATGAACAACTTTGTAACTGTGAATCATGGTGATTCAATAAAAAAAGAAAAAATGCGAAGACCTCGCCCACAGACCAAAAAAATAAGAAATAAATAAATAACTAAGACAGGCCAGTGCTAACCATAGTATTAACAAAGCTGAAAGCATGAGATCCAAACTGCAATGACCAAACCTAAAAGGTACCTGTCAAGGAGACAGTTAGGTCGGAAGGGAAAGAGACGCTTTGGTAGAGGGAAGCTGACACGGTGATGAGACGGGTGTTGGAAAATCGTATGCCTAAAACTCAACTGCAAGTCACGTAGTAAATTATGACGCCCAAGTTTTTTAACGAAAGACAGCCACGTGCTGTCTTACCATTTCTTTCCCGACGGGAAAGGCCTCGTGCAGTCTTCATGCAGGGCAGGAGGCCCCTCGCTCCGCTGTGCCTCCAAGTCTTTTGTTCCGGGGACTTTTTATACAGGAACATAGGAGCTTTGACCTAACTTAGCTGGATTTGGGGACAGATTGGCGACTTTGAGGAAGAACAAGATGCCAGCGGATAAACGTGGTTTTGCGTTTCCTCTAAAATGTCACTTGTAAGAGTCTTAAGTTTTTCTTTTTGAAGCTAAAAGGTAACGAAAGTTTAGTAGATGTGAATAGTGAGTTTTGCTTTTAGATTCTTTCCAGATAAACTTTATCTACTGTTTCTACAGTGTAGTCTCTATCATTTCTGGCTCAGAAGAAGACATCTGGAGTCACTGTGTGTGATATTACACAGTTTGCTATCTCTGGAAAATTTAACTGTATACTTTTAAGGGTGAAAGTAACAAGAAAGAGTAAAACAATAAAAAGAAAGTCACATGATATCCAGCTATCCTGTGAATCACCAATATGGTATCCAGATACATTTGTCAACTATATCAAATTTCTAAACTCCGTTTAACTTATTTTTTATTCACATATTTATTTCTCTTTCTAAATTGTTATCATCTCTTACAGAGACAAACCTAGCCTAACCTTGCCGATGAACAAAGATACCTTCCAATGTAGATGTGTTATATTTGTTTAAAAGGTGGATTTTCCATGATGATCATTTCTACATCAATCATTTGAATTTTTGGATCACAGTTAACTTCTAGCGTCTCTCGACTAAAGGGGTATTGGGGGGCCAGAGCGATAGCACAGTGGCTAGAGCGTTTGTCTTGCACACGGCAAACCCGGGTTTGATCCCTGGCATCCCATATGGTCCCCCATGTACCGCTAGGAATAATTCCTGAGTGCAAAGCCCAGAGTATCCTCTGAGCATCGCTGGGTGTGACCCTAAATGCAAAATCACTGTCACTCCCCTCCCGTTGTTCATGGATTTTCTAGAGTAAAATAAAAATACAAAGGGTTATTGGATTCAAAATTAGCTCAGAGCTATTAAGCACTAATGTATTGGTCCAGCTCAGGGAACCCTAATGCTGCAGTGATCTTTTTACTTTAGCTCTTGCTACTTATGTCCTTTTCCCCACTTTCTAAGAGGTATTGTGTAGACCACCTGAGAAAATACCGAACGGGAAGTACTCCAACAGTCACAAGGAGGTTTTTGAATATGGTGAAGTTGTGACTTACACTTGCAACCCTTCAACCGGGCCAGATGAATACTCCCTTATTGGGACGAACAGGCGTCTTTGTTCTGCTGATGGAAATTGGACCGGCACCCCTCCTCGGTGTGAAGGTAATAGTACTTCCGTTATTTCCTCCTTCAGTTTTGACTTCTTTGGAGACACCATATGTAATCTTATAACCTAAAAGAAAACAAAGCCCCCCCCAAAAAAACAAGAATTTAAAATCTATTTTTACCTATGACACAGTTATCTATAGAAAATTACAGATACAATTCCTTGCAAAATACACACTTAACATACAGAGATGGTCTCTTGCCTAGAATTAAATCACAGAAAATTGATATTTTCAAAACTATTCATGACTGTCTGAAGTACTCAATATAAACCTTTAAATGATTATCATTTGTTAAATATTAAAGAAGTTGGTTAAAATCTAATTCAAATAAATCAATATAAATCAAATACCCAATATAAATCAGATACCCATGAAAGACTTGTAACATAAAATCTGCTAATACTAATAAAGGATACTAAAAGAAACCCTGAATGGAGATTCCAATGGATGTGATTGAAAAATTCCATAAGATAGAAATTTCACTTCTAGCTTCATCTATAAATTAAACACAACAAAATGAAAATTGATTAATTATAATTGATACACTTATACAAAGAATGAGAATATTGTCAAAAACTTTGAAAAACAATTAGAAGCTGCTCACAGCCCCCCCCCCCCCCCCCCCCCGTGTCATCATAGTATAGAATCCTCGAGGTGTGGTATTTGGAGAAAAGAGCCTTATAAAGTAATGAAGAGACAGAGATTCCAGAATGAGGTTCTTATGTGGGTCCAGAGGATTTTTGCCATGGGTATACAGATAACTGCGTAGATGTGACTTAATGATAGTATAGCAGGTAGGGTTCTTGCCTTGCACATGGAAACCCGGTATTATGCATGGCACCCCATATATATCCCCCATCCACCAAGAGTAACCCAAGTGCAGAGACTGGATAAACCCTGAGCACTGCCCAGTGAAGTTACCCCGACCCTTCCCGTGTAACTCAGCAGTCCAAAAACAGTGAAAGCATGTTTACCCAAAATGCATGGGTGCTCCTAGCAAGCAGTTCTCATAGGCCCCCATCTCCATGCCAGTAAATCATTCACAGTCTTGCTGAGGGTGGGCAGACAACTTGTGCGAATCCCTGCAGTGGAAGAACGCACCTCCTGGTCCGTGCCAAAGGGGGGATGGACCTCGGGTCCACTGCCCTGAGCATAACGGGAATACAGAATGCCCATATGTATACTTTGTGTATACTTTGTGTAACTCTCCTAGTCTTGTTCTCACTGTACTATTTTGAATGGTTTACTGTCTTGTGTTGATACCGATTTATGTTCATTCTGGACTTTTTCAACTTTTCAGTGGTTAAATGTCCGTATCCAGAGGTATCCAATGGAATGCCAAGATCAATAATTCCAAAAAAACGTAACTACAACACAACGGTTTTATTTGGCTGCCTCCCAGGTTTTGTCCTACGAGGCAGTGACACAATCAGGTGTGACGCTGACAGTCGTTGGAACCCCCCAGTACCAACATGTGTTCCAGGTATCAAGACCATTGCTTTGACTTTGCGTGTCAGTGACATTACAAGGGAGAATTTTGCTAATCAACTCAATTTTGTGTTTCTTTCACATGTATTGGACACATATACCTAAGACAGATTTATGACCTAAAAGTTATATAGGATTGTGATGTGTTGATTTTGGAAGTTTCAAAATATCAGGAATTAGCATATTAGTTTATCACATTTGCATTTCTATGGATAAAAATGGGTAGCAGCAACATTTTCCAGAATTGGAATTTTCATTAAGCAGGTTTGTTATGAAGGTTTTGATTCATACAGTGGAGAGAAGGAATGCTTCCTTAATCCCTGATCTTTAATTGACAATGCTATGTTTTCCGTTGCTCGCTGCTTTCAGTACTAAACCACCAATCCAATAAAACACCATTCAGGCTTTGGTAAATTGCTCCATACAGTTTTTTGCCACGTTTGGCAGTGCTCAGGAGTTTCTCTTGAATCAGTGCTCCGTCTTCTCTCTGGGAAGTGCTCCGGGGACTCTTCGTTGCCGGGGTTGAAACCCGGCCTCCTCCATGGTTCCTATTGAGCCACCTGCCCTAAAAAAGTCTGCCCAGCCTTGGAGCACGGCTTTCATTGGAACAGCTCTCATAGATTAGGGTCCCATTATTGACATCTCCTGAATTGACCATCCATTTCACAAAATTGACTCTAAGCAATTGTTCTCTAACCATAGGTCTTTAAATTCCTGTGGCTTACACTCATTTGTCCATCGTGAACTTGCGTATGCCAACGGTTATGGACATGCCGCCTCATGAGTTGCGATTTTTCTCTTTGTGATTCTCTGAGATGAGAATGGTTAGCTGAGATGAGTTTCTGTGCTAGTTAGTTCTCTCTCACATGGCGCAAAGCTGCCTCCCTGGGAGGGAGCAGAACCGGGTGGGATGCCTTTGAGGCACTTGGCTCAGTCCATGGGCACCAAGTTCATCCCCAAGGTCAGTCCAAGTGAGGAGGAAGGTTATGGCATCTGAATTGAATGGGCACGTTTTCTGGGTCATCCACTTTGCTCTTTCCTTCATGCTCAAGGTCATTGCTGACACCTGTATCGGCTGCCTCCAGCTCCTGGGCTGGGTTTCATTCCTGCAGTGCAGCCCGAACAGCATCTCCCTACAGTCCCTCTACACCCAGGAAGTTGTGCTGCCACCAGAAACTTCCTGTATTTCTGCGTATTCCTCCCACCCCCTCAGCCATCACTCTTTCTCTCTGCATGCCTGTCTGTTCTCAACGGAATTGATTTCATGGACCCAAAGGCCAGGGAAAGTCCTCACTTACTGAAATGAAGGGACAGTGTCTTTGGGGACGACTGCCAGCTTCTGTGCCTGAGGCTTTGGAGGTGGTGACGGAGCCTCTCCCCTTGAGGGCTGCTCTCGGGCTTCCCTTTGGTCCAGCCGACAAGAGAGAGCAGGGCACGGGCAGAGCTTGTGCCTGGCTCACGGGTGGGGGTCTCATGACTCTGCTTGCTCCAGTGTGCCCCTTTCTGTGGGGGTCCTTTCCCTAGTTCAGCACACAGATGAACTCAAGACACACCCCAGTGTCTGGCTTTCCCTTTAGTTGTTGCTTCCTATCGCCCTAACGTTTTATGGAATGAAGGTGGTTCTTCCTGTTTCTGCAGTCACGTGGCAGATGCTTTCCTGCAGTTGCAGTTAGGCTTCAAATACTTACCTTAGGTGACTGTGGGGTTGGCAGGAAGGAGAGGTGACTTTGATGGACTGATGGCGTCCAGTTGCACATGAAACATTTGATCATTGACATTTTAATCACGTTCATGTATTTGCTGAACTATTCCCGGTGGGAGACCATGTGGTGTGATCAAGTTCCTCTTGAAATGTTTTGTGCAGAAAGTTGGTTGAAAGCATGTCATAATCATATAGTTCATTCTTTACAATGTAGTGTCTGTAAGAGGACAGAATTATGAGACACTGTATAGAAAGAGGAGGAATTGTTCGGAGCATTTTTTGTAATTCAGTAACCTAAATCCCTTGTGTACTCAGGTTTTTTAAGGACTAATTGTAGAGGATTGCACCAAAGTAATCGATAGTAATTTATACATAAACCACAAACAAGTGTGTTAGTATTAAGGAACAATGTCTAAGGAATACCAAACAAACAGTTAAAAGGGAATGAGGCACTTCCCTTGCCTGTGACTAAGGCAGGTTCTCTCCCTGGTGCCCGTATGGTCAGCAGTACCATGAGTCATCACTCCTAAGCCAGAGCCAGGAATACTTGAGTAGAGCCACTCTGTTCCCAGAACCGAAATGGAAAAGGTACAAATTTTGCATTATAGCACTTTAGTGTTACGAAGAAAGTGTGTTTCCCCTGAATGACTTGTTTTTAGTTCACGTTTTGGTTTTCCATTAGGAAAACAAAGTTCTGATGAAGAATCCTCCCTGTTCATTCTTAACCTATCAATGTAGATTGATACAGGTTAAATTCTCTATACTGCAGGGGATTTCAAAGGTCAAATAGTATTTTTTATTTTGAGCACTAGCTCCTGTTTTTAAGACTAAAAATTAAGGGTGGGTTCGTCTTTGTAGATTGATAAGGCTGATAAATGGAATCTGTATTTTCTAGGTCCCAAGCCTACAGTTACTACCCCGACTCAAGCTTCAAGAGATCCCAGTTCAGTAATTCATTGTTGGACCCAGGTTTTTAAGAATTGTATAAGTGATGTCCTGTGTTTACTTTAATTTTATGAAGCTGACTATTTTTTGTTTACTATTGTACTGTCTTATCTGTTTTTTTGTAATTTTTATTTATTTCTTGGCTTTTTGGGTCACACCGAGCTATGCTCAGGGGTTACTCCTGGCTCTGCACTAAGGAATTACTTCTGGCAGTGCTCAGGGGACCATATGGGATGCTTGGAATCGAACCCAGGTTGGTGGTGTGCAAGTCCTACCTACTATACTATCATTCCACCTGTGTTTTTTTTTAAATTTCTTTTTTTTTTTTTTAAAGAAAAACTTAGATTCTGGCCTGGAGCAGGTAGAGTGCTTGCTCCGCCTGGGGCCTCCCGCCATTGTTGGATCCCTAGCTCCCTAGATGAGCAGCACCAGGAGGGAATTCTCAGCACCAGCAGTTGTGGCCCAAAAATCAAACACGTAAAACATCCAGTTTCTACAGTATTTTTATTGTCAATTTGGACAATTAATTAATGATCAAAACCCTGGTAGTATGAAGTGCACCTTATTTTCTTGATTTTTTTGTTTGTTTACTTTCACCTAGTAAGTTTTCTTTTCAGTTTTCTTTTTTCAGTTTGCTATTGGGCATGAATCCTTCTAATAATTTTCTTTTGGCTAAGTAGACTACAGTGATAACTGCGAATTTTGAAACATTTGTTAGTGAGCAGTCAAGGGTGAATTCCCCTGCTCTCTGTGCTCCATCCCCTCAGCGCTCGCTGTCCCAGTGAGCACAGTGCCGTTGTCTTTTCACCTTTCGTGGTGATGTGTGCAATCTGGGCTCACAGAGAGGAAGGGTGAGTGGGGCGGCTCTTTTCCTTTCTCCTGAGACCGAATGGCATCACGCTGCTTATGCTTCCCAGAGACTTGCCGTTTTCCCACTGAATGTCCCGGATTATGGTGGCAGGTCACTTTGGAATAACAACAATATATATTCTATACCATGTATGTTTCTGAGCCGGGTTCGATTCCTCTGCCCCTATCAGAGAGCCCAGCAAGCTACTGAGAGTATTCCGCCCACCCGGCAAAACCTGGCAAGCTACCCGTGGCGTATTCGATATGCCAAACACAGTAACAGTAAGTCTCACAATGGGACGTTACTGGGCCAACTCGAGAAAATTGACACTACTACCATGGAGCGATAGCACAGCGTTAGGGTCGCCTTGCATGCGACCGTCCCGGCCGACCCTGGTTCGATTCCTCAGCCCCTCTTGAAGAGCCTGGCAAGCTGCCGAGAGTGTCTTGCCCTCACGGCAAAGCCTGGCAAGCTAACCGTGACATATTCGAAGTGCCAAACACAGTAACAACAAGTCTCATGATGGAGACATTACTGGGCCCACTCGAGCAAATCGATGAACAATGGGAGGACAGACAAACAGACTATGTTTGTTTGTATTATGTATATCTAACACTTGGTATAGTTTTAGGGTAATGCAATGTGTTACTCTTTCTCTCTTGGGGAACTTTCTCTTTTCACTGGTGTCCATGGGCATGAGGAGCAGGGAAGCCCTCGCTGACTGGAATGAAGAGATAGTTTTCCTGTAGGGATGACCACCAGCTTCCGTGCGTGAGGCTCTGGAGGTGGTGGGAGGAATCCCCCCGCCAACCCCCATTGCGGGCTGCTCTGGGGTTTTCCTTTGGTGCAGCAGACAAGAGAGACTGGGCCATAGACTGGGTTGTGCCTGTGTTACAGGCCAGAGCCTTGGGGTCCTTCACGGCTCTGCTCACTCCAGGATCCCTTCTCTGTGGGAATTTCTCTGCCTTGTTTAGTAAGCAGCTGAACTCACAGAATTTCTCTGCCTTGTTTAGTAAGCAGCTGAACTCACACACCCAGTGTCTGGCTTTCACTTTAGTTGTGTACTTCCTGTTGCCCTAATGTCTGATGGACTGGAGGTGGTTCCTCCTGTTTCATTGAACGGATTCTTCCCTACAGCTGCCATCAGCCGGGTATGGCCCTTCTCCTTAGGTGACTGTGGGGGGTTGGCATGAAGAAGTGTCTTGGGTGGACTGATGATGTCCTATTGCACAGGAAGTGTTTGGTCACTGTTGGCTCATTTATGAGCATGTATTTGCTGAAGTGGGTCATGTGGGAGACCACACAGTACTCTAGGTTGCTCTTTCATGCCGTCCCTGTCTATTTGGGGGATCAGAGTAACATTTGCTTCATAAAAAGCTGGGAAGTATTTCTGGTTGGTTTTTTTTTTTTCCTGAAAGAGCCTGAAAAGATTGGCAGTAGTTCTTCTTTAAAGATTTGAAGAACTCACTTGTGAACCCACATGGGCCTGGGCTTTTGTTTGGGGGGAGACTTTTGATTACCATTTTGATTTCCTCAATAGTAACAGTCTGTTCAGCTGTTCCATATCTTTTTGGTTCAGTGTTAGAAGGATATAAAAGTGCAAATATTTATTTATTCCATCTAGATTGTCTTGTTTCATGGCTAAAGACTTCCAAAGTAATCCATGATGATCTTCTGAATTTCTGTGGCATCTATTTTAATATACCCCCTTTAATTACGATTGGGTTAATTAGGGTTCTCATTATTTCTTTTTCTGTCTTCCCAGTGGTTTTTCTGTCTCCTTTATTCCACAAAGAATTGTCTCTTGGTTTCATTAATGTTTTCATTGCTTTTTGGATTTCAGTTTATTAATTTCTGCTTTATGTTTAATTATGTCTTTCCTCCTACCTGCGTTGGGCTCCTTCTGTTGGTCATTTTTATGTTTCTTACGCTGTGCAGTTATTTTTGTGGCCCCTTTCTTCCTTCCTGAAAAATGCTTGCGGAGCTATGAACTTTCCTCTTGACACCACCTGCTGTGTCCCACAAGTTCTGGTAGCTCGTGTTCTCATGCTCATTTGTTTCTAGGAATCTTTTGATTTCTTCTCTGATGTCCATTTTGTCCCACTGGTCACTCAGTAGTGAGCTGTTTGATTTCTGTGTGTTTAAACTATTTCTCCATTTCTGTTTATCATTATCGTTCACTTCTATTTTCAGAGCATCGTGATCTGAGACGATAGTGATATGATGACATCATAGTTGATATTACTCCTATCCTCTTGAGTCTTTTGAGCTGTGCTTTGTTACCTAGCAAGTGGTCTATCCTGGACAGTGTCATAAGTGTACTGGAGGAGAATATTAGGGGATGCAAATTCTGTATATATCTTCTAAACCCTCTCATCCATTTCTGCCTTCAAAGTCATTATTTCCCTGCTGAGTTTTAGTCTAGTTGTTGACAGACTAACAGACTAAAGAGGTGACCCAGCAGTGTGGAAGCCTCCAGCTCTTACTGTGTTGCTCTCAGTGTCTTTCTTCAAGCCTATTGGCAGTTTTAAGTATTTTGCTAGTCCTTCATTTTGGGCTGGAGCGATAGCACAGCGGTAGGGCGTTCGCCTTACAAGCGGCCAACATGGCCGACCCGAGTTTGATTCCTCCGCCCCTCTCGGAGAGCCCGGCAAGCTACCGAGAGTATTCGATATGCCAGACACAGTAACAACAAAGTCTCCAATGGAGATGTTACTGGGCCCGCTCGAGCAAATCGACGATCAACGGGAGGGCCTTTACCTTTACCTTTACCTTTACCTTTACCATTTTGGTGCATAGATGCTTAAGAGTTGAGTTCTTCCCGATATGCAGATCCCTTCATCCCCTGATCATTAAAAATGACCACTGTATCCTAACTTTTTAAGCCTGAAGTTGATGCTGTCCCATACAAGTATGGCGACTCATACCTTTTCCTGGGGGTTGTTTGCTTGAAATGCTGTCTTCCAACCTTTAATTCCAATCTTTGATTCTGTCTTGGTCCTTACTGTTCAAATGTTTCTTGTGGGCAGCAGATACTTGAATCCAGTATTCTAATCCACCCTGGCCCTCTGTGTCTCTCAGTTGATGCGTGTAAGCCATTGACATTGAGTGAGATTATTATTATGGATGTCTGTGTCATCTTTCTGTGAAGCTTGGTTGTTTGAAATTTGTCTTGTCTTAAAGTAGCCCCTTCAGTTCTGCGAGTCTATGAAATTCCTGATCCGTTGTTTACCTGTGAGTTTTTGTATTGTTCCTTCACATCTGAAAGAAGTCTGACTGGGTTCAGTGTTTTGGGGAAGGTATTCATTTCATTGAAAAAATTTAACTACATCCCACCACTCTCCTCATACCCAGAGGGTTGATACATCTGCTGTAAATCTTAAGGCAGCTCCTGTGCGTGTGATTTTCTTCATTGATCTTTCTGCTTTCAGTTATCTTTGCTTTCTTCACTGCGGTATTTTTATTTGTATCTCTTTTAGCTGGCACCCTTCAGGTCTCTTGAACCTGAGTACAAGCACTCTTTAAATCTGAAAACTTCCGGAGCTGAACCGATAGTCCAGCAGGTAGGGTGCTTGTCTTGCATGCAACCAATCGAGCTGTGATCCCCAACATCCCGAAATACCCCCCAAGGCCGCCATGAGTAATTCCTGAGCACAGAACCAGGAGTAACCTTTGAGCACAGATGGATGTGGCCCAAAAAGCAAAAATCCTCCCATTATTTATCGATTTGCTCAAGCGGGTCCAGTAATGTCTCCATTTTGAGACTTATTGTTACTGTGTTTGACATACTGAATATATGCGGGTAAGATACTCTCGGTAGCTTGCCGAGCTCTCCGAGAGGGGCAGAGGAATTGAACCCGGCTCGGCCAGGCCTGCTGTGTGCAAGGCAAACGCCCTACTGCTGTGCTGTCGCTCCAGCCCAAAAAGCAAAATCTGTAACCTTCTCAGTGATGATTTGACTATTGTTTTTTTTTTTCTCTGAATTTCCTCCCTGGGCTTCTGGGTCCCCTAATTAGTTAAATTGTTCCTCTTAAATTCATCCCAGTTTTCTCTTGTCTGCTGCTCATTTCTTTTAAGTTCTTGTTTCCATCTTCTGTTGTCTGGAGGTTTTCTGAGTCTCATCGTGGAGCTCACTGATATTTTCCTCTGCTGTTTATGCCTTCTGTTGAGTTTTTCACTTCCCCTACCCGTATCAATTCTAAGTTCTCCTTTCTGCCTGTACCTTTCTGACTTCTGCTCTCATATCCTCTTGTGTTTAAGTGGCTGTTCTGGTGTTTCTTTGCACTCCGTAAACATCCTCAACATTTCCGAAACTTCTTATCACAGGGGTTATATATAGCTGGTTATTACTGGTTGAGTCTTCATGGCTACCATCTTCACTCTCTAAGCATGGAGGAATCTTTCCTGTTCTGAATTTATTGCCAGAGTGCAGGTTTGTGTTTCTTTGTGTTGTGCAAAAGGGAAATAGTGCGTAGTCACATTAGCAGCTGCTCACTTCACGAAGGCCCACAAGTACTCCTGTCGCTTTAGGGAGAGGTGCCCTCAAGGCCCACAGTGCTCACAGGCCATCCTTGAATATTGGTGCAGGGAGGAGAAGCTGGGCAGGACTTTCGGCACACCTGGGAGGGGCGCAGAGTGATGGTAGCATTTGGTGCTCTCAGCCGAGCTGTCCCGTGGTGACGAGAGGCTCCCTCAAGGCCCCGTGACCTCCTCCAGGACTGTTTTTTCTAAGTTAGAAAACTGACTTCCATCAACTATTATTTTTATGAGTAATTATAAAGAACCGCACCCAAGTATTCGATCGCAATTTAAACAGGAAGCAGCCCTCAGTGTGCTTATATGAAAAGTGACGTCTAAGAAGTACCAAGCGAAAAAGAGAAATCGGGACCAGAGAGACCATAAATTAGAGCCAGACATTTGCCTGGCATGTGGCTATGCAGGTCCTATCCCCATCACCTCATATGGCCCCCGAGCACCACGAGGCATCACTCCTGAGCACAGAGCCAGGAATGGCTCTTGGAAGGAGCTGGGCGTGTCCCCAAAACCAAACCTGAGAAGGTTTAAAATTTGCAGTTTGGCACTTGAGTGCTAAGAAAATGTATTTGCCCTGGTTACATAGCTGAATGCTTTTAGTTCACACTTTGGATTTCCATTGGGAAGACAGAGTCCTAATAAAGAATCTCTGCCCATTCTCAACCTTCTGATGTAATTAAATATGCAGGTTAAATCCCCTGTAAAGTTCAAGTAGTATGTGGTTTTTTGATGTTGTTGGGGGGGGGGGGACTGTTGGGATTTTTTTTCCCATTTTTTTATAATTTTATTTATTGAATCACCGCAAGAGCAGTTACAAAGCTTTCGTGTTTAAGTCTCGGTCATACAATGAAACACCCATATCACCGGTGCCCATTCTCCACCACCAAAAACCCCAGTATCCCCCCATCCCCATGATTTCCACATTACTCTCGCTCTACTTTGATCACATTCAATATTTTGACACCAGACCCACCATTATTATTTGAGATTTTACTCCAACACTCAGATCTGCTGAAAAGGCAACTGTAGACAATTTGTTTTCTATTGCTGGTTAAGAATAACATATGATGTCATGTGGCTGCAGTAGTGGCCACGCAATTTTGAAATTCCGAAATTTTAACAGTTACATCTGGCAGGATTTCTGCCAAAACCTGCTGGGTTCCGAAATTTTAACAGTTACATCTGGCAGGATTTCTGCCAAAACCTGCTGGGTTCCGAAATTTGTTCCTGAGTCTCTTGGATCATAGCCATGAAGGAGCTTGATCAGGAGCCAGAAAGGCTGTTTGTGGGCGGTGACTCGGGATCTTGTTGGGATGGGGAGCAAAGGGCCGGCTCCACCCCCATCCCGTGAAGCCCTGCATGTCTCATCACTGAAGGCCCAAACCTGACTGTCCAATGACCTCTGGAGGATGGCGGCCACCGAGCCACATAGGGGGAGCAGGCGGAAGGACATCCCTTTCCCCCCTGGAATGGCCTGACAACAGTTACCTACTTCATGATCCGGACGCGTTTCTGCCAGAAGCCACTGGGTTCCAAGATTGTTTCTGAGTCTCTGGGATCATGCTGTTAAGCAGCTTGAGCAAGAGCCAGAGAGGCCATTAGTGGGCAGAGACTCAGGGTCTTCTTGGGACGAGGAGGAAAGGGCTGAGCTCACCCCCCATCCCGTGAGGCTCAGCGTGTCTCATCACAGCGGGCCCAAACCTGACTGTCAAGTGGCCTCTGGAGAATGGTGGCCACTGGGCTGCCAGGGGGAACAGGCCAATGCACCAAACCTATTCCCACCAGGGGTGGCCCAGAGCCAGTAACCTACTGCGGGGACTGGACGCATTTCTTCCAAAAGCCGCTGGGTTCCGTGATTTGTTTCTGAGTTTCTGGGATCATGGCCATTAAATTGCTTGATCAGGAGCCAGAGAGGTCATTCTTTGGCAGCGACTCAGGGTGTCACTGGGGTTGGAGGGAAAGGGCCGGCTTCACCCCCATCCCGTGAGATCCTGCATGTCTCATCACTGTGGGCCCAATCCTGACTGCCCAATGGCCTTTGGAGGGGTGACCACTGAGCCGCCAATGGGGAACAGGTGGAGGGACAGCACCCGTTTCCCACTGGAGTGACCTGGTGACAGTAACCTGCTGTGCAGTTCAGATGCATTTTCGCCAAAAGCTGCTGGGTTTTGAGATTTATTTCTGAGTCTCTGGGATCATGGCCGTTAAGCAGCTTGATCAGGAGCCAGAGAGGCTGTTTGTGGGCAGCGAATCGGAGTCTCATTTGGACGGTGAGGAAAGGGCAAGCTTCACCCCCATCCCGTATGGCCCCACATGTCTCGTCACTGTGGGCCCAAACCTGACTGTCCAGTAGCCTCTGGAGAATGGGGGCCACCGGGCCACCAGGGGGAACAAGCCAAGGCATGAAACCTATTCCCACCTGGGGTGGCCCAGCACCTGTAACCTACTACAAGAACTGGACACGTTTCTGCCAAAAGCCGTTGGGTTTTGAAATTTGTTTCTGAGTCTCTGGGATCGTGGCCATTAAGCAGTTTGATCAGAATCAGAGAGGCCATGCCTCCAATTATATAGCTGAGCCAGAGGTGGTTTGTGGGTGGCTGTTGGGATTTTTGTTTGTTTGTTTGTTTGTTTGGGGGCCACACTCAGCAGTACTCAGTATTAATCTTGGCTCTGCACTCAGGAATTACTACTGACAGTGCGCAGGGAACTATGCAGATGCCAGTATTGACTCGGGGTTGGCTGTGTGCAAGTCAAATGCCCTAACTGCTCCTAGTATATGTATTATTAATTTTCAGCGCTACCTGATATTTTTAAAAATTTATTTATTTATTTTGAATACCCATCCCTCCACCAGTGACCGTTTCCCACCACCACGGATCCCAGTATCCCTCCCACTCCCCATCCCCCCATCCCACCCTGCCTCTGTGGCAGGGTATTCCCTTTTGTTCTCTCTCTCCTATTGGGTATTGTGGTTTGCAAAAGAGTTAAGCCTGATTTTCAGGGAGAAACGTTGGATGATTTACTTTCCATTGATCACTTTGTATATAAGGAGATGTCGCGCAGCTGCATAAGCTGCCGCACGGTTTGGAATAAAAGTCCTGGTTCCCGCATGCCTGAGCAATGCTTGTAGAGGCTCATGGTCACCGGGGTTCCATCTGGAGAAGGTGGGATGCAGCACCTACCCCATCTACTGCCTGATATTTTTAAAGTGAAAAGTAAAATTAACTCTATCATTGCATATTGATAAGACTGATAAACAGAATCTGTATTTTTCTAGGTTCCAAACCTACACCTGCTACTACAACTCCGACTTCAGGAGAGCCTGGTACAGTAGCTTATTATCATTCTTATAGTGTTAAGAGCAATATAGGGGGCTGGAGCAATAGCACAGCGGGGAGGGCGTTTGCCTTGCACGGGGCAGACCGGGTTCAATTCCCAGCATCCCATATGGTCCCCTGAATACCACCAGGAGGAATTCCTGAGCGCAGAGCGAGGAGTAACCCCTGTGCATCGCCGGGTGTGACCCAAAAAGCAAAAAAGAAAGAAAAGAAAAGGAGCAATGTAAATGATGCTCTGTTCCTTTTTCTGTGAGGCTGTACATCTTTTTTATTTTTTTTGTTTTGTTTTTGTTTTTTTATTACTGAAATACCTTGAGGTACAGTTGTAGACTTATAAACTTTTGTGCTTGGGTTTCAGTTTTACAATGATATTTGAGGCTGTACATCTTTTGTTTAAATTTGTATGTCTTTCCCCATTTTTTTAAAAAAAAACAACTTTTTTCTGGGTTGGAGCAATGTGATGGAATTGTAAGAACAGGAAGTAATACAAAGCTACAATTTTACAAAGCCACTGAAGCTTTCAACAATGCAGATTTTTTTAAATTTAATTATTTATTTTGAATACCCATCCCTCCATAGTGCCGCCACCACGGATCCCAGTCTCCCTCCCACCTCCCATCCCGCCATGCCATAGATGGCAGAGCATTCCCCTCTGTTCTCTCTCTCCTTTTGGGTATTGTGGTTTGCAGAAGAGTTAAGCCTGATTTTCAGGGAGAAACGTTGGATGATTTACTTTCCATTGATCACTTTGTATGTATAATATGTCGCATGGCTGCGCGGTTTGGAAAAAATGTCCTGGTTCCCGCATGCCCGAGCTATGCTTGTAGAGGCTCATGGTCACCAGGATTCCATCCGGGGAGGCGGGATGCAGCACCTACCCCATCTGGGACCTCCCAGTGATATTGGCTCTGTTTGGGACCTGGAGCATTCTCCGGGAGCTGTGGGGCCCTCCAGCGGTTTTCTTCTTTGTTGCTGTGTGCTGTAAGATGGTGCTGGGGGGCTAGTTGTGAACAATGCAGATTTTAGGTCTCAGAGAGTGTGTGTGGGGGGGGGGGGGAGAGAGGGAAAGAGAAAGGGAGAAAGAGGGAGAGGGCGAGAGAGGTAGGGAGAGGGAGAGTGAAAGAGTAGAAGAGAGAGGGGGGAGAGGGAGAGAAAGGGAGAGGGAGGGAAAGAGGGGGGAGGAGAGAGCGCGCAGTGGGTCAGGAAATGGCCTTGCACATGGTGACTTCACTTCAATCCCAGCACTCCATATGGTTCCACCAAACGTTGTGGGTCAAAATTCAAACACAGAAAGCACTCAGGGTCTACAATATTAAAAGCCCTGTTTGTATGAAATGTGTGTGTGTGGGGGGGGGGGGGGGTTGATGTTTTTTGTGTACTTTTACCTAGTAAATTTTTGTTCCAGATTTTTGTATTATTCTATTGGATAGAAATGCTTTCTCTAACGTTCATGCACCAAAGTAGACTTCGACAGCAAGCCTGTGACTTCAGACTTTCCCTGGGAAGCAGTCGAGGGTTCTGCTCGGTCTGCGCCATTGTCCGAGCAGGAGCTGTCCTGGTGCCAGGGGTCATTTCACTGTGTGTGTGCGCGTGGGGTTCGTTCTTCATGCCAGTGGCTCTTTCCCTTTTTGTGAAACCGAATGACAGGATGCTGGCCGTGCTGCTCAGAGACCTGCAGATTTCCTAGTTAGGGCCTGGATTGTGACTGCGTTTTACTTTGCCCAAACATGGAGCGACACAGTGTGTGTGCGCGTGTGCATGCCTGCACGTCTACCTGTATTTATTGCATAATATGCTTCCATTAGAGTAGTACAGTACATTGTTCTGACTCTCTCGGGCCTTTTGTTTTTCAAAGCAAGCTGATTTTCATGGGCCTGGAGGCAGGGAAAGTCCTAGTATACTGAAATGAAGGGGCGGTGTCTTTGGGGACGACTGCTGACTGCCGGCCCCCCTGCCTGAGGCTTTGGAGGTGGTGACGGAGCCTCTGCCCTTGAGGGCTGCTCTCGGGCTTCCCTTTGGTGCGGCCGACGAGAGAGAGCAGGGCACGGGCAGAGCTAGTGCCTGGCTCTGGGTGGGGGCCTGGGGCCCTCCATCGGCTCTGCTCACTCCAGGACCCCTTTTCTGTGGGGGCTCCTTTGCCTCGTTCAGTGCACAGCTAACTCACACCCAGTGTCTGGCTCTCACTTTAGTTCCCTGCTTCCTGAGGGGGTTCTCCCTGCGTCGTGTCATGTGCCAGGACACCCGCCCACAGTTGCTGTCGTCCCCGGTCCTGTAGCTGCCCTGCTAACTCAGGGGACGGTGGGGTGGCATGCAGGAGAGCTGGCTTTGTGGCCCAGTGATGTTCTGTTGGGCAGGAAACGTTTGACCGCCGACATTTCATTCATGTTCTCGTGTTTGCTGAGCTGGTCCATGTGGTGCTGTAGTCTTCCTCGTGAAGTGCTCCCTGCAGATCTGGCCTTAGGCGTATCACCGTTAGACAGTATGTGTCATTACAGTGTGTGTCATAGAAGATAGAATTGTGAGACAACGATAGTAAGAGGAGAAGCTCTTGGAAACATTTTGTTATAATCAGAAACCTAACTTCCTTGTACAACAGTCAACCACTTTTGTGACTAATTGCCGAGGACTGTGCCAAAGTGATCGATGGTGACTTATATGTAAAGCGGAAATCGACATGTTAGTATAAAACAACGACTAAGAAATACCAAGCAAAAACATAGGACTAGAGAGAGAGAGAGAGAGCAAATGGGAATAAGGCATTTTCCTCACATGCAGGTTCTAGCCCCATCACCTCACAAGCATCCCTCCAAGCACAGAAGAGCCAGGGGTAGCACTTGGGCAGAGCTGAATGTCTCCAAATCCAAAAAGATAAGGCATAATAACTTTGTAGTATGACACTTGAGTGTTAAGAAAATGTATTTATCCGGGATACGTATCTTTATGTTTCTAGCTCAAATTTTGGATTTCCGTTAGGAAGACAAAGTTCTAATGAAGATTTCTCTTCTGTTCATTCTTAACCTATTGATGTAAATAATTGTACAGATTAAGTTCCCTATACTGTAAAATTGCAAAGTTCATGTAGTATGTGTGTTATTAATTTTGAGCACTAGTGATATTTTTAAGACTAAAAAAGTAAAAATGATGGGTTCATCGCTGTGTATTGACCAGGGTGGTAAACGGAATCTGTGTTTTTCTAGGTCCCAAGCCTGCCGTTACTACCCTGACACCAGCTTCAAGAGATCCTGGTTCAGTAACTTTCCGTATTTATGTTGTCAAGATTACTTTTCTTTTATTTCTCTGAGGCTAGACTTTTTTTTTTCTTTTACAATTATACTGTCTTTGCTATGGTTCTTAAAAATTAGGGTTTGGGGCTGGGCCAGTCAGTGGGTTGGTAGGGTGCTTGCTTCCGTGCAGCCAGTCATGGCACCTGGTCCGATCCCTGACACCCCACGTCTCCAGATAACTGCCAGAATGTTGCCAGAGTGGATGTGGCCCCAAAATCAAACAAGCTAGACAAAATAATCATGTTGTTATTTTTGGAGAGTTAAGTAAAACAGAAACCCTGTTAGTATGAAGTGTGCCATTCTTTCTATTTTTTTGTTTTCTTTTACCTAGTAGTTTTTATTTTAGATTTTTATAGTGCACTATTGAATACAAACACTTATGACTTTCATGTGCCAAAGTAAATTACAACAGTATATCTGTGAACTTTCAGGCGTTCATTAGTGAGCAGTAAAGGGTGAATTCTCTGTCCGTGCCCTATCGCCCGGGTATCAGCTGTCCCCGTGCACTTAGTTCCCAGTGTCCTTCGCCTGCTTGTGCGCTGTGTGGTTTGGGCTTCAGGCCTGTGGCTCCTTCCTTTCTCCTGAAGCTGAATGGCATCCTGCCACTCATGCTTCTCAGAGACTTGCTGATTTGCCACTTAAGGCCCTGGGTTGCGTTTCCCTTCATTTGGTCTCACCCTGGAAGGACAGTTCTAGTCTCCAGCCCCTCGTTTATGTAAGAGTTCTCCCAAGAGTGTCTCTGCACAGAATTCTCCCTTCCTGAGATGCTGGGATGCGTCCCTCTCTTTTGTGGTGGTTCTATCTTATACAGGCTGGACTCCCCCCCAACCCCGCCCATGACGAAACCACAGATACATAACCCACGTTCCGTGGCTGCTTTCTGTCCGTCTTGCCTACCTCTCATGCACTCAGAACCCCTTCTTTTCCAGAGCTGAACCTCTTCCATTTCACCCACTTTGTGTCTTGTTACAAGTTAAAGCCTTCATGCAGTGCTTGATTCTCTCTTGTGAATTTGATCATCAGTTGCCCGACTTTCTGGTTGTTTCTCCTTTTCTGAATCATGATTCTCTGTTGTCATTTTAGACTCTAATCTTCCCCCGGGTTGGGCATTCGGGCTTATGTGGATGTGTGCATAGATGTGTGTGTACACTCACCTGGAACTGGAGTGATTGTGTGTCCTGTGGCCGTCGTGACTCCCTGTGTTGTGGCAGGACAGCCAGTCCCCGCAGCTGGCCCAGGTTACCTGCCCAGCTCAAGGTGCCAAGGTGCTAGTTTCTCAAGTCTTCAGCAGCTTGGCGTTTCTTTCTTTTGCTTTGTTTCATTTTTTCTTTTTAAATGATTAGCTATCCTGACACATGGGAAATACATCTCCTTGTAGTTTTTCATCACCTTTCCCTTGTGGAGTTCAGTTCATCTATTTTTTCCTTTTATTGTTCTTGCTTTTGGGGCAGGGGAGAAGGGCATTAGCAGATCCACCCTGAAGCATGCCCTCTGCCTTCTGACATGTTTTGTAGTTTTAACTCCTAGGTCACATTACTGATTCTTTTATCTTGAACTGATTTTTGTGTGATGGGATGCTTGTGGGTGTCCAAATTTTTAAGAACCATCAGTTGAAAAGATACTCTGCCCTGTTAATCTTCTTATGGAATGTCATCCTCTCTCTCTCCCTCTCTCCCCTTCTCTCCCTCCCTCTCCCTCTACCTCTCCCTCTCCCTCTCCCTCTTCCTCTCTCTCTCTCTCTCTCTCCCTTTCACTCTCCCTCTCTCCCTCTCCCTCTCACCCTCTCCCTCTCTTCCTTTCTCCCTCTCTTCCTCTCTCCCTCTGTGTGTGTGTGTGTGTGTGTGTGTGTGTGTGTGTGTGTGATGATTCATATCTCTGCCTTCTATTCTGTTCATTGCTCTGTGTGCTGTCTTCCATGCTGTGCTGGTCATTGTTGATTATTGTGGCTTAATAGCAGGTTTAAACAAAAAAGCATCAACCCTCTCAGCTTTCTCTCAGTTGTCTTGGCTATTTCCAGTACCTGTGGAGTCCATGCGAATGTTAGGGTGAAATATTTATATGTGCAGAAGGGACCATCGGGTGCTGGAGAGACAGAAAATGGTTAAGGCACTTGCCATGTTTGATCCCCAGACCCCCTGAGACCTGCCCAGGTGAAACCCGTGTGCAGAGCCAGGAGTAAGCCCTGAGCACAGCAGGGTGTGGTTCCCACCCACAAAGACAAAAAAGCATCACCAGGATTTTCAGAGGCAGTAACATTTAATTTGTTGATGACCATGTGTATTATATTCATCTTAACATATTTAATTTTCTAATGCATGAACACAAAATGTCTTTCAGTTTATTTACATTTTAAGTTTCTGCTTTGTGTTATTTTCAGTATATCACTTCATTTGTAAAATTCATTCTTTGGACTGTTTATGTTGTATAGTGTACAGAAACACAACTAATGATTGCACTGGGTCCTGTACCCTGCAACTTTACTTAAAACATTCACTAGTTTTAACAGGTGTGTGTGTGCGTGTGTGTGTGTATGTGATTCCTTTAATTATCCTTATGAAACATTCTCTCGTCTTGAATACGGGATTTTATAGTTTTTCTTTTCCCCTGCCTCTCCCCACCTCCCCTGACACACACACATACCCCACTTGCTATCGTAGAAATACTACTGTTGTGTCCATTTGAAACCACCCCTTTTCAGATCCTGCTTACGGGACCAATCTTAGACCTTGGCCTGTTCACATGCCCCAGACTGTGCTTTCTCAACACAGCCTTCCAAGGCAAATCATCTCTCGTCATCTTTCTGTTATTGCTTAAAGCCTTCTATTGTTTTCAGTGTTTGTGTAATAAGAAATTACTAGCTGATTTTGGCAATATGCTGGCAATAATGTGCCTATTAAGACTTTTACAAGAAACTGTTCCTGACACGATATAGATCGCTTGTTGACATTGGAATATGAATTTATACCTTAATGCTAATTTTGTGGGCTGGAGCGATAGCACAGCAGGTAGGGCGTTTGCCTTACATGCGGCCGACTTAGCCGACCCAGGTTCGATTCCTCCGCCCCTCTCGGAGAGCCCAGCAAGCTACCAAGAGTATCTCGCCTGCACAGCAAAGCCTGGCAAGCTACCTGTGACATATTTGATCTGCCAAACACAGTAACAAGTCTCACAATGGAGACGTTACTGGGCCCACTCAAGCAAATGAACAATGGGAAGACAGTGCAGTGCTAATTTTGTGGGAAAATATTAACATAATTTATATAAGGAAAATGGAGTTCTAAGAAATTTTGTTTAAAAGACAATATTCAAAATCTGTAAATTTGGAGTTCTTGGAACTTCCTCAACACACACATACACACAAGCCACACACACAAACACACATATATATCCACATGTATGTTTGGGCTGGAGCGATAGCACAGCAGGTAGGGCGTTGGCCTTGCACTTGGCCGACCCGGGGTTCGATTCCTTCGCCCCTCTCGGAGAGCCCGGCAAGCTTCCGAGAGTATCCCACCCTCATGGCAAAGCCTGGCAAGCTACCCGTGACGTAACAACAAGTCTCACAATGGAGACGTTACTTGTGTCCACTTGAGAAATCGATGAACAATGGGAGGACAGTGCTACTAATTTTCTAAGTATTTTTTTCTCTTTTCTCTCTAGGTGATGTCAGACCCAGTGATCAACCACCCGAAACGTCCGGGCATTTAGGTATTATTTAAGTTTTAATAACCCAACTTATGAGACCCGACAGTTCTCCCGTCACTTGCATTGTTAGCACAGACAGGAGTACGTCACATGCTGACGTGATAATTGTATTTGCCGTGAATCTGAGGACGAATGTAAGCAGTCGTCCATTTAGACATGTCTGGGTAGTGAAATTACTTATGAATATCCCAAGTCAGATTTCTATCGGTGAAACAGTTTTCTCAACAGGTACACTTACATGTAGTTCAAAATGTGTACAAAACAGGGACTGGCTAGATGCTTCAAGGCTGCAGTGCAGGTTTTATTGCCGGATGCCAGGTTTCGTGCCCATTACCACATGGCCAGCCAAGTAATGTGGCTATGATGATGCTATGTGTATACTATTTAAACATACACGTTATGAGTGTATGTGTGTGTATATATGTACAAACATACATACATATGTGTGATACATATCACATATATAAGTGATGGCATAGTAAATATATGTGTATGCGTGTGTATATACTGAATATACAACACTCACTCAGATGAAGGAAGTGTGTTTTATATATGCCCTATCGTATTCGGTTTATATGGGGAAATGTTTACAGTTGTTTTAAAACTTTATTATAATATAGATCATAATTATAATGTATAATGATATTGATTATAATATTGATAACAAAAGGGTTGGTTGAATAATACAGTCCAGCGCCACCCCCCCAGTAGAGTCCACTGCCCCCAGCACTATCCAGGACAGCCCCACCCCCACTCCCCCGCCCTTGCCGGGATGCGCTTCCTGCTTGAGGCCAGTTCCAGTTTCTGTGACCTTTGGGAGTTTGCTCCCGATCGGGTTTCTTTTTAATTGTTATTATTCATCCACTGATTCCGCCATAAGTAGGAGATCATGCCGCTGTGTTCTCTCTAGTGTGGGTTGGGCTTGTTTTTCTGTAGCAGCTCATGCTCCCACTCAGGTCAGCTCTGCAGCCCTCTCTGCACAGGCGAAGGGAGCAGGCGGGAAGGGCGGTGCTGTGACTCTGTGGCTTCTCCCAACTGGTCTGTCCTTTCATTCGGATGGGTTAGTGCCCACAAGCTTTGCATGCAGGTGGGACCCATCTGCCTTCACTGTGCGTGCTGGGCACAGACCCGGCATCAGGAACTCTGTGACGCCTGGGATACCCACACGCACACTCATGTTAGTGCCAGGAAGAGCAGAGTGAGATGGGGCTTTCTGTTGGCCTTTGACTTGGATTTCTGATGCAGATGACAGTAGTTTAGAAGCAGAAGCCCTGCCACAAACGTTTCTGAGAGTTAAGATTTTTGTAGGTTTTCTTTGTTCTCTGAGTAGTGGTACCTGATTGGGTCTCTGTGCAGAATTTTTACCCATGTGCTCTGATGTTTCATTGACATTTTTATAATCTCCTTGGGAATGATGCTAGGTTTTCTCAGGGAGAAGGTAGATGCACTAGGATATTTTTGAGGCTGATAGGATATTTTCGTGGCTAACCTGTAAATGGAAGCTCTGGAGAAGAGTAATAGAACTGAACCGATGACGTAGGCCACAACTCTGCTCCTGGAGAAAAGGGATGACTAAAATTCCAGGAAAATCACTGAAAATAATGGAATGAGGAAGCAAACTGACTGAACAGAACAACACAGTTTCAAAACAGTTGCCAAACCTCACCTCAGCGCAGGGTGTTGTAGCTGTGGCACAGGGGTCCTGAGAAGAGTTTGCCAGGGAGTTCTGCACCTGACCTGTTGAGAAGGTTCTGGCTCCAGGTGGCCTGGGACCCTCACACTCACTCTGCAGCTGTCTGGGTCACTGTGTGTCCTGCTGGACGTTTAGATGAGTGCATCACCATTAAAAAGCACCTGCTGTCCCTACATGCTCAATTTTTTCAAACTGCTTTCATTTTCAGGTCCTGGGGTCATTGCAGTGATTGTTTTAAGTACAGGTAAGTATCCTGACTTTGACACCATTTAAACCAAAAATGCCTTTGCGGGCTGGGAGGGGAGTTGTGCAGGTAGACAGACCTGGCACTGGTGAGACCCCTGGCACCGCATGCCCCTGAGCAGTATTGTCTCTGAGCACTGCCGCATATGCCCCTGTACATTTTTCTTGTTTTGGTTTAGGGGTCTGACGGTGATAAGTGCTTCCTCCTGGCAGTTTTGGAATTCTGAAATTTTAGCAATTAAATCTGGAGGGATTTCTGCCCAAACCTGCTGAGTTCCAAGATTTGTTTCTGAGTCTCAGGGATCATGGCCATTAAGCAGTTTGATCAGGAACCAGAGAGGCCTTGCCTCCAATTATATAACTGAGCTGGAGGTGGTTTGTGGGTGTGTCTCCCACATACCTAACTTTTGGCCATTTGCTTTCATGATGGGCTGGAGCGATAGCACAGCGGGTAGGGCGTTTGCCTTGCACGCGGCCGACCCGGGTTCAATTCCTCTGCCCCTCTCAGAGAGCCCGGCAAGCTACCGAGAGTATCCCGCCCACACGGCAGAGCCTGGCAAGCTCCCCGTGGCGTATTCGATATGCCAAACACAGTAACAACAAGTCTCACAATGGGGATGTTACTGGGCCCACTCGAGCAAATCGATGAACAACGGGAGGACAGTGCTACACTGCTACTTTCTTGGTAAACTGGCCCCAAATTGTTGAGGTCTGGCCAAAGGCACCGCAGCAATTTTGGGGTATCTGTAAGTATGAAGCTACCATCAGGCTGCTGATGCACTCACCTCACAGGTACAGATTGACCTGCTGGCAGCACCATACCCCGTCCCTAAAGGTTTTTTTAAAAGCTCTGTGGACCTGGAGAGGGTGTGCAGTGTCTTGGGGTGGCAGTGGAGGGTGACAGTCCCTGGTCCCCCACATACGCTGAGCACAATCCTGCGGGCCTGCAGTCTCTGATCCCGGCAAGAATAATTTCCAGACACACTGCAGTGTATTCTGTGTAAGCTCACAAAATTGGGTGCGACCCTTGGTGAACACCACAGCAGGAAGTATGGTCCTGGACAGTGAGCAGCAAACTCATGACTCATGGCCTAAACTGAGAGTATGACCCTGGACGTCCATGACCCGTGAGCCTTAACCGAGAGTGTGGCCCTGGACAATCGCAGACTTGTGCGCTGTAACTCAGCTGTGACTCAGAGTGTGACCAAGTGACCACACTGCCTGCAGCAACCTGAAGGAACAGGCTCTCCGGGAGCTCCGTGCCTGAGTGTGCAAGCGTCCATTCCTTGGTGTCACGGCACCAGCAGCAGCCCAGCAGGGGAAGGGGCCGGAGCCACAGCAGAGCAAGTGAGGCGCCCGCTTTCACACAGCCGACCCAGGTTCTATCCCCGGCACTGGGCACGGCACCCTGAGACCCGACGGAGTGATCTCTGAGCACAGAGCCAGGAGTAAGCCCTGAGCACTGCTGGGTGTGGCCCCAAAACGAACAAAGTGAAGGGACGGGACAGATGGGCAACTTAAAAATATCATCGTTCCAGGGAAGTGGGGAAGCAGGTGGGTGAATGAGGAGGAGGACCCGGGATAGCATAAGGACACTGGGCATTCTGGTGATGCGGAGATCTGGGAACCGTGTGCAGAGACCGAACCATTCGAATCAGCTCTAGTAGAAACATGTCACCCAGGTGATAGCCCAGCCTGGGGGAGGCCCCGAGTTCGGTCCCTGGCTCAGCACGTCCCTGGAGCAGCGCCATGTGGAGCGGCGCATCATCCTGTAATGTTCTGTCGATCCCGTGGCCCCTCTGGCAGGAACGCCGCTCAGACAGGCAGACACTGGCTTCACGTGGCAGTGCCCCTGCGCTGTATCGTCTAGTCTGGTTTACTCTCTGTCCACTTAGTCAGCAGCCCTGAAGAGGGGGTGACTGCGGGGTGACTGCCCACGGGACTCTGTCTACCGCATATGCTCTGGCTGTTTGCTGGATTGAGAATAAGGAGGGGTCTCTCTGGTCGAGGGGTCTGGGCTGGAGTCTAGGGGGTGAGGAGTCCCGATGGAATGCAGAGCTCCTTGAGCTTAAATAACAATTACCTTTTATTTCTTCAGCTCTATTTTGAATCTCTATGACCACTTTCCAGATTTACAAGTCAGATTTAAATTTCCGATTTCTTATAGTCGTTGGTGTTATGCTGGCCAGCCTTGGTGTGTACAAGTATCTTCAGAGCAGGAAGAAGAGGTAAATTCCTGAAGCATGCTTCTTCTAACCTCCTGCTCCGTCTCACTCCTGAATGCTCTGTGGCTGTGGCTTGTTGCTGTGATGTGTCATGTCTGTGTAGACTGCCTGTGTTCATGTGCATTTCTGTTCCCAATAGTATATCATGACAAGGTAATTCGCGGTGTTGCTTCAGCTAATTCTCACTGCAACAGAAATTCCTGTAGGACTTGAAGTTTCACTCTACGGGAAATCTCAGGCCGTTCTGGACGCCCCTGCCCATCCTGCCAGACATACTCAGTTCTCTGCTGGACCAGAGGCCAAGACCAAAGTAAAGTCCAGAGGCTGTGATAGGTGCACCCACTGAAGCTTTCTGGCGAGAGCTTTCATTTGTCCTTACACTTCTCTAGTTTTAGAAGCTGCATTTGTGTCTCACTCACACAGCCCATTTGGTCGCTTTTGTCTTTGGTTCCCTCGGCTCTTGGGTCTCCCTCTTTGCTCTTTTAATTCACTTGATTGAGGTAAGAGAGATGAAGCTCAGTGGGGAGGTACGGGGTAAGTTTACCGAGCCCCTCAAGTCACACTGGGTTCATGTCTAGAACGTGAGAGACTTGGAAAGGAGGGAAGCACAAGTAGCATGTCTTCTGAGGAGAATGGGATTCTTTAACTTAAGTTTCAGTGAAATGTTTAATAATTTGGGGAAAGACGTGGGCCTTTGTGGAGATTGGAATTTGGAATTTTTTTCTTTCTTTTTCTTTGTGCCCCATTAGCTTTGGCAGCAGCTTTGAAAATCAAAATAGTCCATTTAAAAACTCTTGAATATTCATGACATTATGATATATTTTCTTTTTATGTTAACCAACTTGATTGTACTTTCTAATAAAAGTACATTTTAGTACAGTGGGTAGGGTGTTTGCCTTGCTTGCAGTGAATCCAGGTTCGATCTCAGGCATCCCACATGATCTCTCAAGCACTACCAGAATTAATTCCTGCGTGCAGAGCTAGCAGGAAACCCTGGGCATCACTGGGTGTGACCCAAAAAGCAAAACAAGAAAATTAATAAAAGTAAGATTTATATTGAGAACTATAGACACTGTACTTGCCTTGCACAGTGCCAACCCAGATTCTACCCCTGGTACCCCCTATGGTGCCCAAACCCCACCAGGAATGATGCCTGAGCGCAGATCATAAGCCTTGAGCGTAGCCAGCTGTGGCCCCAGAACAAACCCCCAAAAATGTACATTTTTCTTTTCTACTATTCTTATCCTCCTTTTATATCACTTGCCTGTCTTTTTGGAGGAGGGTAGCTGTTAGACCACACTTAGCAGTCCTCGGGGTTATTTCCTGCTCAGTGCTCAGGGTCACTCCCTGTGGGCTCTGGGGGTCAAACCTGGGTCAGCTGTGTGGGGAAGCGTCCCATCAGCTGTCCTGGCCGCCTGGCCTTTTGCCTCATTTCTTGAGCACTCACAGTGCTTCCATTTCAGTCTTAAGTCTGATATAACAAAACACGTGATACATGATTCTTTGGTTCTCGCAGTGGTTTTTTTTTTATTGTGTACACTGTGAATAGCAAAGAGCATTAATGAAGCATTTTTTTACAAGTTCAAAGTTAAACAAATGACTATTTTAGAAAGTAAAGCAAAATAGCTCTCCGTGGGGCCAGAGATGATAACACAGCAGGTTGACTTGCCTTGTCGGCTGACCTGGCTTCATTCTCTGACAACCCCTAGTCCCCTGAGCCCTCCCAGGAACGACCCCCAAGCACAGAGTCAGGAGTAAGCCCCGAGTACAGGTGGATGAGGCCCCAAAAGCAAAGGGACTCTTTGCTTCTTACTTTCCTTTTTGCTTATATTGCTGTGCCAAAACACGCAAAGGGTCCTTGGAGAACTCTCTACAAGTTAATGACCTTTATGATTTTCTGGTAATCTTACCTCCAAATGAAAGATCCAGTATCACAGTGAACTAACAAAATGTGTGTGTGTCTGTGTGTGTGAAGAAGCCCTATATGTCACAGCACAGAGGCCATATATTCTTCTCAGTGAAAACAGAAGATCTCTATATTAAACACTGTGAGTTTTGGGAAGGCGATGTATCTGACCCAGTGCCACATAATTCCCAGTATTCAGAAGCATCGTTGGGGGAAAAGTTAGATTGGTACAGGCAGATAAATTAACAATCTTATTGAAGCACAAGTAGCAAATGTGTGGGAGTCTTAGGGCTGATGTTCCCCATTTTGACGATCAGGAACTTTCACAGTCAGCAATCGCCGGACGCTTAATTCAAACCAGTTTCGGCTCTCTCCGTGGGCTGCTGGACTTCAGGACAGAGTTTTTCCGACTGGCCTTTCACAGCCTGAGTTTCAGTGGTCGCACCTGCTCTGACACCGGGTTCACGAGCTGTTCTACTGGCATCCCCTTTAACCCAAGGAACTTGTGTGACCACAGTATCCAGGTGTACGCAAAAGAGGTACACAAATACCACATAATCATAAGTTTATTTTTAAATAAAAGTTGTTTTTCCATTTCACACGGCGTGTAGTCGCACCCCTCTGTTTAAGAAGCCAGGTTTCGATAGGCTGTGTGTGTTTGTGTAGAATGTCCAGCGCCAAGGAGCTCACTATCACTTTCTTTGGCCCGCCCATCATTCCTGTCAAAAAGAAAATTGTGTCCTGAGGACAGAAGATCAGCTCCTACATGGTTCCATTGTGGTGTGATACTTACCTGGTCCAGAACGGATCGATGTAAACGTGTGGGACTTAGGGTTTGGGGACACAGTGTTCTGTGGCCTCCAGCTTCAGGGATAGCAGCAGCCCAGGTGATTGTCTTTACGGCCATCGACCACAGACTTCTGAGTGCAGGAGAGCAGGCAAGCTGGCCTGAGGCCACTGTTCTCTGTGGCTTCCTCTGCGACTCTCTCTCTGGGTCCTGGTCTTGTTCCTCCTTTACTTTGCTTGACACTTACGTGTCTCTTGCCTGTGTGCTTCTGAAATTCACAGATATGGGGCCAGAGTGATGGCACAGTGCAGAGGGTGTTTGCCTTGCACGCAAACGAACCTGGGTTCCATCCCTGGCATCCCATATCCCGAGCAACACCAGGAGTCCTTCCTGAGTACAGAGTCAGGAGTAACCCCTGAGCATCGCCGGTGTGATCCCCCAAAAAAAAAAAAATTCACTGATAGTTTGTGTGCATCTGTGCTTCTGCTAGGACTTGGAAGTTTTCATAGGTGTGTGATTTCCTTTCTTCCAGTTAAATAAGTTTTCATATGTGTGTGATTGCCCCCTTCCAGGGGAGGGGGCGCTGGAACAGTAGTATAGCAAGTAAAGTCCTTGCCTTGCAGGGTTCCCCTGCACCCTCTATGGTGCCTAGCCTATGGTGCCTAATTCCTGAGTCTAGAGCCAGGAGTGACCCTTGAGTATTGGGTGTGGCCCACACATCATTATTTAAAAAAAAATAAATAAAAGTTTCTAATGCTGTCTTCTTGGCTTGCCTTCTAGAGAAACAAAGAACTCAGAAGCTTCCTTTTCTACCTACCGGAGCAAATCCAGCAGTCCAACAGAAGAGTCAAACTAAATGGCCCCAGAGCCAGAGTATCTGGTCATCTTCCATTGCTCTTCAATCCAGTTATACTACCCTTGGCCAGTCAGTGCTACCACTTTCGAGAAACATTTGGAAAGTGCCTCAAAAATTAAAGAGTGGAAGCACCAGGTGCTCTGGCAAGACCATGTCAGTGCCATTGGTGGATGGGTGGGTCAAGAAGGCTCTTTGGCTACAAACACGAGACACTTCTGCAGAAGCCTGCCGCCCCTGAAGGAGCCCTAGGCACGGGGCTAGGGACAACCTAGATAGCGGGCCATGGCAGGCCTCACCTCAGTTAGATGCTCAGGAGAAGGGCTTCTGCATGCCGGGCAGGGGGGTCTGGGAGGAAGTCAGCTATTTAAGAACATCCCAACAGATAAATCTCAGGAGTGGACACATCACAGTAGTTAAGGGTTACTGCAAGATCTTGTTACAGAAACCGAAAGTCTAGGCTAGACAGTGCTGCTGGTCAGTCATAGCTCATCAAAATTAGCAGAAAAGCCACGTCTCCTCTCCTCTGCCTCACCCCGTGGAAGCTCTGCTCCGCCTGCCCTGAGACAGGCACTTGGTGGCAGGAGGTCACCTCCTCTGCGGTCGCTCCTGAGCTACATGGATCTGACTCTGGGGAGGCGGATCTGCTTGGAACACATCCTGGTTGCAGTTAAGAAAAGGGATTTTTTTTCTTTTTGGGTCACGCCCAGCGATGCATAGGGGTTCCTCCTGGCTCTGCACTTCAGGAATTTCTCCTGGCGGTGCTAGGACTGTATGGGATGTTGGGAATCAAACCCAGGTTGGCCACGTACAAGGCAAATGCCCTCCCTGCTGTGCTATCCCTCTGGCCCCAGGAAAGGGACTTTTTTTTCCCCAGTTTATGGCATGGTAAATTTTTTGTTTTGTTTTTTAATTTTATTGAATCACCATGAGATAGTTAACAAGCTTTCATATTTGGATTACAATCACACACACAATGATCAAACACCCATCCCTCCACCAGTGCATATTCCCCACCACCAAGGAAAGGGACTTTTAAGTAAAATCTTGAACTTAGTTTGAATGAAATTAGCATCTCATGACTCAATTATTTTGAAATCTTTTGTTGAAAGATTAACTCCATCAAAAGATTCTTTCAACAACTCCCAGAATGTATCTTATACTTTTATTGCAAATTTTTTCTACAAATGTGAATATACTATTATTAGCTCTTAAACATTCAAAACTGGCAGTTGGAATTAAGGTTTACTCAATTAACAAAGAATATTATTGGGACATCTTATCCAAACTTTTTTTATGACATCTTATTGTCTCATTCCTACTTTGGACAAACTTGCAGGCTATTGAATGTAGCCTGCCCACAGGGCAGAGTCTGGCAAACTCCCCGTGGCGTACCCAATATGCCAAATACCAGTAACAATGATGGGTCTCATTCTCCTAAAGAGCCTTGAATATAATCTCAGGGCTAGGATGAAAGAGACGTTACTGGGGCCTGCTCGAGGCAATCGACGAATAACAGGATGATGAAATGAAATGAAAAATTATTGGGACATATTCTTAAAGCTAACACCGTACAATTCAGATTTCTTTTCTTACCCCTCCCTTTACAATTCAAGTTTTATAACTGCAACTTCTTGATGATTTAAAGACACTGAAGTTTTTGTATGGCATTTGTTCTCACCCTCTTGAGTAACAAGAAACCTGTCTAGGGGGCCAGAGCAGTAGTCCAGCGGGTAGGGCATTTGCCTTGCACGCTGCCAACTCGGGTTTGATCCCTGGCATCCCATAGGGGCCCCCAAGCACCGTCAAGAGTAATTTCCTGTGTGCAGAGCCAGGAGTAACCTCTGCGTATCGCTGGGTGTGGCCCAAAACCAAACAGAAAAAAAAAAAACCCGTCTAAGAAATCAGTAAGGATTCAGAGGGGGTTGCATTTCTGTGTCCAAAGCCAGAGGAATGCAGCTTTGTTCGCAAGAGGGCGTCTTTCTCAGAGAAGCCCACTCAGAACTGGAGGCCACCCCAAGTTGCCGGGGGTGCTTCTCCCCCTCCCAGAAGGATGAGGGATCTTCTGGACTGGGAATAAGGCCAGAGCCCTGCTTTGGGATGTCTCCTCAGCGGCGTCCCAGGAAGGAAGCCAGCTGCTGCTGGTGCAGGAAGGGAAGTGCCTCGGCTCTGGCCCGCCTCGCGTGCTCGCTTCCAGCAGGTTCTGCAGGAAGATGAAGTGTGGGCACGCCAGCCAAGGTTCTGACTGAGTTAGAGCTGCGGCCTCACCCCCGTTGCTCACGCCCCGTTCAGGAGCGCCGTTCTGTGGCGGATAGCACAGAGGGTTGGGCACTTGCCCTGCACTCAGCCAACCAGGCTTAGTCCCTCACCCCACCTCGGGTCCCTCGAGCACTGCTGGGTGTGGCCCAGAAAGCAAAAAAAAAATTTTTTTTCAAGTGGCCTTAGAAGGGATGCTGTGCTGTTTCTGCATCTTGTGAATCCTCAGACTGCTTTCTGCTTATTAAACTGACATCGGTAACCATTTCCACTCCCATTTTTTTTCATTTTTTTCCCTTTATTTTATTTTTTTTTAAAGTTGTAGATTTACAATTTTTTGTGCTTTGGTTTCAATTATACAATGATCAGATACCCATCCCTCCACCAGTGCCCATTTTCCACCACCATGGATAATATCCCTCCCACCCCCATCCCCCCATCCCCCCCGTCTCTGTGGCAGGGCAATCCCCTGTGTTCCCTCTCTCCTTTTGGGTGTTGTGGTCTGCAAAAGAGGCATTGTCCACTCCCATTTTTAACATATTTATCATTTATATAATTTATCATGTTTGATGTGTGTAGAATCAAGTTTTCGCAAGAAAGCTTTGTTTAAACCATGCAGGATAGCCTATTTGAGTCTGTGTCTGTTTTTTGTAAAGTGAGTATAGCTTTGTATAGAGGTTTTTCTGGATAATGTAACAATGGTAATGTATGTTTCTCATTGGGCCCATCTTCTGTGAGCACTGCCGCTCAGAGCACTGCCCATGTCCCAGGGCCTGAAGCCGCTCCAAGCACCGCTCCCGCTCACCGCATGCCCTGCCGCCTCCCTTCGGCTGGGCGGCCCTCGGGCCCCTGGCTCACGGCCACCAGAGCCGCAGGCCGCCTGTCCCGCAGACTTCTGGCTCCAGCTCCACGGCTGTGCTGGTGGGCCTGGGGTGAGCACATCTCGGCTCTGAACCAGTGTTGGGCCAGACACGAGCAGGCACTGAGGCGAGCAATGGGCATGAAGCTTGGTGTCACTCAGAACACGTGGTCTTGTTTGTGCATGTCTGTATGCATATTAGGTGTGTGAGGCTGCCGGGAGCAAGCATCTGACTTGGAACATACTGGAACTTCCCAGGGTCCCGTTCCACCCCTGACATTTCCCTTGGAATTGAGTGGAAGACGCTGTGTGAACAGTTTGAATTCATTCCGGCAGATTCTGGGAGAGCAGCCTCCCACACACATGCCTGATGGCTACTATGGCCAGTAAGCCCCGTCAACTGTCTCCGTGACTGCAGAGGACTGCTGCCTCCTTGGGTCCATGGCAGCACACAGTCCCCTTGAAGATGGGTCAGCATTCCCAGAACCTACGTTCAGGCCCACTTTGAATCTGGTATTATCCGTCTCTTGTCTGTGTCCCTCCTTGGAGATACCACCTTTCACGTCTGAGCTGTTTTGCTTTAAGAGGGGGCGGTCCAGGAGCCAGAGGACAGAGGAAGAGGCGCTCGGCTTACAGGGGCCCAGCCAGGTTCCATCCCCGCACCCCGTGGTCTCGGAGCATGGACAGGAGTTGTCCCTGACGGCCAGGCGTGACCCAGTGCCCCTGCACCCCATAAACAAAGGTGAAAAAAGGTCGGGAGCCTGTGGCAGGATGCTGCTTGCTTTTTTTGCCACGTGGGGCAGGACAGACTTCCCCGAGGGTGCTCGCTACACACACTAGTGACCCCAGAAACCACAATGAGGGCAGCCAAACCCAGTGTTCAGACTCTCCGGGGGAAACTGGGAACTCGTGCTGGCGGCCCCCTGCCCGGGTAATAGCCCAGGGGGTTGCAGCCGAGAGCCTGCAGGGAAGGGCTCCGCTTCAGAACACATGAGCTTGGCCCCTGGAGTATCCCCTACGCGGGCCTTGTGCTCAAGAAAAACCAGCTGTCCCAAAGACAGACTGTTGAAGGTGGCCCCAGAGATGGGCCCAGCAGGCCCTGGCCAAGAGCCCACAGTCGTTCCCTGGCTCCAAAACTGGCCTGTCCAAAGCATGGTGAGATCCGGCAAGCAGCCTTCCTGCTGGGGGCTCAGGGCTCAGGGCCCCAGCTGCCCTGCGCCTCCCGTAGGGGACACGGTATCTGGGACAGACACGGGAGATCAGCTCTGCTTCCCAACCAGTACCACACAGCCGGGGAGCCGGCAGGGTCAGGTGGAGGGCAGGCCACTGAGCAGAGACGCAGGGGTGGGATGAGTACCCTCACCAGGGCAGCAGTGCCTCCCACCAGGTACCCCCCAGTGAGAAGCCACCGAGGCAGAGCTCGCGGGCTCGCTGGCCCAGGGGCGAATCTGACCTCGGTCCTGGGGGACCAGGACCTCAGCCTTGTTAGATCCAAGGGTGCCACTGAGGCAAATGGCAGGCCCAGTGCCCTAGCCAGCAGGTCAAGGCTCAGAACGCAGCTGCGGCACTGGAGCTGAGAGTGGCGTCCACGGGCTAGAACCTGGGACGGCCTGGGTGGGAGAATCACAGCAGGGCGCTGGGAGGGAGGAGGTCCCCCCCCCACCACCACCACCCCGCCGAGGCCTCGGGGTTTTCGCACTGGCCAGCCCAGCCCTGGCCCGGCACTTGGGCAACACCCACTGCGCCAGGCACTCGGGCAACACCCACTGCGCCAAGCGGAATGACGCCCCCCGCAAGGCACAAGATGTGACTCCGAGAGAAGCGCTTTATTAGGTGGCGGCACCGTCGTCTCCGCACCGGGCCCGGACCCCCGGCCCCCAACCCGCAGAGCCCGCGGCGCCCGCTCTGCCCTCGCCTCGGGCGCCTCAACTGCGGCCCTTGGCCGGCAGGAGGCTGCAGGCCGCCGTCTTCCCCCTACATCATAACCGATTTCAAATGGTGCTAGACGGGAACAGACTCTGAACACCAGGAGAGATCGGT